GTTCTGGCTGTCAGCTGGGGCTATGGACTGCAGTGCCTCCATGTGGCTTAGGCTTTCTAACAGTATAGCAGTCTCAGGATAGTAGTAATACTTCTTACCTGGCAGCTTTGGGTACCAAGAGTAAATGTTCCAAGAGGCCCAGGAAGAAGCTGAAAGGTTTTTGATGATCTGGCCTCAGAAGTCCCAGAAAGTCAATTCTACCTCATTCTGCTAGTTGAAATTGGTTAAGTCACCGAGGCCTGCCCAGAATCAATGAGAGATTATTAGACTTCACCTCTTAATTGGAGGAGGAGTGAAGAATTTGCAGCCATCTTTACCTACTACAGTGATCATATCGAAAGAAAACTACTTAGAGAAAATAAGTTGGCAGTTATATTCAGAAAGGATCAAAGAGTTGAAAGGCTGCAACATGAAAGTCTGGATTTTGGAAGGTGCTTGTGGAAAAGGGAAAGTGACAAAACTTAGAGATGAATTATAGAAACTTGCAGAGAACCAAAGATGGTGGGACCATGTAGAAACACAAGGGAAAGAATATTAGATTTAAAAATGAGTTTAAGGAAGGCAGTACCCTTGTTATGTGTCGTGCATGTGACTAAGCACAAACATTTCAATAGGCCCTTCTTGGCTGACGTGGAGAAGCCGGTAATGGCTGCCTTGTGGGTAGTGATGGATGGTTTGGTTCTTGGGGTTAAGTTTCATGTGTTGAAGCAATCATCGAATCGGACAGCTGGCATAAGAGAAAGGCACCACCAGTCTGGTTCTGTTAAGTGCAGTAATTCCTAGAAGTTACTAAGTCTATCGGCCTCTGGAATTTGCAGTGTGTTTCTGTGTTAGCACAGGGAAAACCAGCGCAAGAAGCCACTTTCAGTGATTTGCCTTCATTGAGCAAGATTAAATCTGCAATTAGAACAAGGGGTTGGCAGGACTGTCTGCCATACCCATCTTTCCTTCCTCTTGTTATAGAGTAGGTTAAGAAATAGTTTATTGCTGTGGCAGTCTTATGATATTTTACACTTTATCATCAGCTCTCATCTGTAGTTCACATGTGGCTTTCTGATTGGTAAAAATCTTGCAAAATCAGAATAGAAAGACGATCACAGAAGCCCACGCAAATTTGCTTAGAGAAGGGGCGAGTGTCGAGTCAAGTAAAACCAAGAACTTGCAGTGATGGGAGGTAATGAGAGATGCACATTTAAAAAGCATTTATTTGGAGGTCAGTGGATGGAAAATGTGTGAAAGGAGCAAAACTAGGCTGTAGAAGGAAGTCCATCTGGGACAGTGGTTTCTAAAGGTATCTCAGAGAACGCTGTGGTTCTGAGTGGTTACTGGCAGTTCCATCAATAATAAGAAATTGGCGTAGCAAGAATCACGGAGGCTCTGTGTGCAAAAACTTAATTTTCTTTCTTTTTCATAACTGAAGCCAACTTTGCTCATGAATCCTCATTTACATCTGATGCCAGAAAAAATCTTGCCAATTCAGGGTTGTTTAGTCTCCACTGGTTCAAGACTCAGTCTCTTTGGGGTAACAGCACAAGCTGTTCAGAATTCTTCCCTCTTCAAACCCCTTTTTTTCTCTGGATGGTAACTGGAGTTCTTTGGGGGTGAAGGACATGGACTGCTTAAGGCTTGTCCTGGCATCTGGGGAGGGGTTCTGGTCCATAGATCATCCTCTGGTCTTACCGACCTCAGCTGAGTTCGTGCTTGCCCGGCAGTCCCCAGCTGCAAGGGCTTTTCTAGGTGGTGGCCTTCTCAGCCGCTCTGCAGCCTCTAGAGGGTTTGGGGACTCTGAACACTCTGAGACGCACGAGACTTTGTGAGGCAGCCTGTCCTCAGGCCCAGGCATCCTGCTGTCAGGGCTGCCCCATGGATGGGCCATGCTGGACACAGGGCTTTGCTATGATGCTGCTGGTGTCCTAGGCTAAACCCTGGGGAGCCCAGCAGTGCTCCTCTCTTCCAGGATTCCCATCAATCTCCTCTCTTGGGAGGAGGCCAGGCTTTCTCTCGTTTGGTGGTGGTGGAGAGTGGGGGGCGCTGGGCCACCTCTCAGAGACCTTCCAGGGCCAATAAATACCAGTCACCTCCCCTCTGCTTTTCTTCCTGTCTGCTGATCAACTCTGCTCCTTTGGGTGGGGAAAAAAACCTTTACGTTACCATACATCTTTCTGAACTCAATGGTTTATGATGTAAACTCTATGCTCAAAGTTCTCCAACACTTTGGCTTTGAGGATTCAAGGAAAGAAGAACAAAAAGGCTTCTTTAAAGCTTTCAAGCCCAGTGTAACTGTTTATAATGAACAATCCTTCAAAATGTCTTGCCACACAGGCCATGGGAGATGTTTTATTTTTCAGAGCATCGGATGATGCTGTGCGGGTCAAGGTGAGTTTGTTTCACGTGAACTATTAGATAGCCCTCCAGGAGAGGGTCCCACGATCTGAGCAGCTTGCCAGGTGGGGCCAGACTGGAATCCTCAGGGGATTCCATCTCTCTTAAGGAAGGTGGTCCTGGGGCCGGGGAGGGGGGCTAGGGGGGGCGAGGATGGGTGAGGGGTGAGGGGGAGACAGACAAGTCTCCCAAATGATAAGAGTTTTGGAGGTGGGAGGGTGGTGACGGAGATGCATTCCAGCAGGCGTCCCAAGGCTGTGGATGTTATTTCTGTTTCTCCTAAGTTTTTGTTAAACACATCTGCCACCGTCTTCAGGAAGCATGTGCCTCACAGTGAAGCACACACTCGCCTGCAGAGCCTTTGTATGTGCTGAGACCAGAGCAGAGCGTGATACGGTCTCCACCTCACGAAGCCTCCAACCCAGGGCATGGAGCAAGGCAGGTGGTCACACGGGTTGCCTGGGAAAGGAAACAAAGGGAGGAGTCAGGGAAAGTGTCAGCACGGCTGAGTGAGGGAGGAGGTGACCTCAAGGCCCCAGATAGAAGAGTGGGTACAGGTGAGAAGGGGAAGTCTTCCAATCCTATCTCCACAGTGGGGGGTGTTTGAGAGTCCCACCTGGGTCTAGGGGCTGTGTGTCTAGCAGGACGGCTGGTGGAGGGGTGGGTTGGAGGAGTCAGAATATAAAGAAAAATAAAAGGAAAGTGTAATTTTTATTTCTACATTATTTGCTCAAATCAAGTTTACTTTCCACTTGTAAACTGTTGAAAAACCTTCATTACATAAGCAGTAAGATGAATTTACATCCACCAACACGTGGCTTCTGGACTGGTCATGCAGTGGGAGTGCAGATGAGCCAGGCGCGCCTGTTTCAGCTTTCGTTCACTGCGCTTGGATGCACAGGCTGAAGCAGCTCCAAGTGGGGGCTCAGAGTGAGGGCAGCACTGAGGGAGCTCGGGACAGCTGTTTGCAACCCTGGCTGCACACTGGAAGCATCCGGGAGCTTTAAAAACACTGACATTTGGGCCTTAGCCCCAGAAATTCTGACATAACTGATCCAGGCGGCGGTGTGCAGGCACTCCCCCTTAATTCTAACGTGTAGTCAAGGTTTCGAGAACCGCCAGCTAAAAAGGAATTCTAAGAGATGTGACAGCTGATCAGTTCTCATAATACGATGTCACTGGCCCCAGATCTGAGCCTGTTCCCAGAGAAAGGGGAACCATACAAGCTCCGGAAGGAGATAAAATGAAAAAACAAGAAACTCTCATCATGCCAGCCACAAGGCAGTATTAGGACTGGTGAGTTATTGCTGCCCGTTCCTTTATGCTTTTCTCCAGACTAGGGTGATCTGGGGCGGCTGAGGCCCAGTTACCTCAATTCTTGAGTTCCTGAAGGGGATGTCAAGGGATGGGTTAGGGAAACAAGAGCCTGCGCAGCCTGGAAGGGATACCGGAAGGGCTGGTGTGTTCTGTTAGAGAGGAAGCAATCATCATTTACTCAATGTCACCCCAGAGGATGGCCCATTAAGTCCTCAGAACAAGCTGGCATTGTCACTTACGGGAGGCAGGAGTGGAAAGGGAACAGCCCGCTTCAAGCTCCTGGCTGTTGGGCCTGCAACCCAAGCCAGCGGCTGCCAGAACCCCTGCGTGCTTCCCTCCCCTCATCGAGGTCTAGGTGTGACCCTGGCCATCACTGCATTTCTCTGAGTGTGAATTCCCAATTGCAACCTGAGCCCGTGGGTTTTAACCTTAAAAGATACCCATTCTGGCCAAAAAGTCTGATATCAAGACTGTTCCACTCGCACGCTGCTGCTTCATCCCAGCGCTTACCAACAACAATAAAACTAGCCGGGGACGCTCGTGTGGTATCGACTCTCTGCCTGGCGCTGGTGCACAGTTAGCTCATTTACTGTCCCCAACCACTCGGTGAGATGGGTGCTGTTATGTTCCCTTTTCACAGAAGAGGGAACGGAGGTACAAAGAAGTTGGCGACTCCTCCAGGTTCCCAAAGCCCGGGTGAGAGAGCCGGGCCGGCCCCAGGTCCGCAGGCTGGCCGGCACTCCGTCGCTCGCGCTCCGGGCACCAAAGTGTGAGCGTTGGCCTTGCGGCCGCGAGCTCACTCCCCGAGCTCAGGCCCCGGGCCCGCATTGGTGGCAGCCGGGTGGCGAGGTCCAGGAGCGTCTCAACTCCCTTCGGGGGGACCGCGCGTGGCAGGACGGCCCGGCGATGCCCAAGCCGCAGCGTCCGGAAGGGGCGGGCGACCTCCCCGGCTCCTCGGGAGGCGGCACTGGGCCAGCTCCTGCCTCCTGCTCTCCGGCCCGGCCCGGCCCGCCGTCCCCGCCCCGCCCGCGAGTCCCGAACCGACCCGGGCCGCGCCCGCACTTCCCGCTCCAGGGCGGCCGCCGCTCGTGCCCGCGGCCCGGAGCCCGCTCGGAGCGCGCGGCGGCGGGCGCAGGGGCCGAGCGCCAGCATGTGACCGCCCGCGGCAGGCCGGCCCCCGGGGTCGCCCAGGTAGGCGGCGGGGGCGGGGGTTGGGGACCGCCTGTGGCTGGGACACCTTCGCGGGGGCAGCGCTCCCTGCGGGGGGGCGCGGAAAGCCGCCTCCTGAGCTCGCCGTGATTGATGGCTAGTTTGTTGTGGAAGAAGGTGATGGCGCTTAATGCCGGGAGCCGGGGGATTGTTTGTTCCTGTGTGAAGCAAGAGTACACGTTGTTCAGATCCCTTCTGGGGGAAGCTGCCGTGGTTCTGGAGGATCGTTCTGGGGGTGTGTGTGTGTGTGTTTGTGTATGTGAGTCTGTGTAAATTGCTTCCAGGCATTTTAATCCGCCCAAATTCAGCTGGTTCAGGAGTGTCCCGGTTAGGGGTTTAGGCCCAGAAGGGTCAGCCTGGTTAACAAGATGAGGGATGAATGCCCTAAGCACAGTGGGAGGCTATAACTTGCGGCCCCTCCGGGGAAACGACGATGCTGGGTGGTGTCGCTACAAGCAGACGCCAAGAAGACACTCATCAGTCACAGCCAGAAGGTAAGGCACTTTACAGTTTATAAGGCCCTTTATGCTTACTGCCCTTTTATCCTCCCGACAGTCTTGTGAGAAACATGCTATTAGCACCCTCCCTTTACAGGAGGAATCAGAAGCTCAGACAGGGCGACTAGCTTGTTGAAGGACTGGCAGCCCCAAGGAGAGCAACACCTTAGACACCAAACTCTATGCCTCTATTGTACCACATTCTGGCTCCCAGCAGCCCCTGCCTACCGGGGCTTTCCCCTCTGCACAGCCAGGAGGGAGGAAGGCTGCCAGGAGGGTGTGCAGATTTCTGCCTCGGCGGGGGGGTCCAGGGGGTTTCCTGGGGTCAGGGGATGCTCATCAGCTGGACACACGCCAGTGGTTTTAGCTGCACAGCTTAGGGCCGTCTCTGGGCCACTGATGCCATGGAGAAAACGCAAGCTGAGTGAGATCCATCCATCACTGGAATGTGATGCTGGGTCACCCTGGCTCAGTGCCAAGCTTCTGAAGGTGAATGTAGGAACTGAAGCTCCGTGACCATTGATGAGCTGAGGAGAGCTGAGAGGGGTGCTGAGGAAGTTTGCCATCTCTTTCCCCACCCATTTCCATGCAGTCAGGGACATCTTCTCTCTTGATGCCTTTTACTTTCTTATTTAATAACCTATTTAATATTTCATTTAATATTCTGTTCATATACTATGTTTTGTGCTAGATAAAAACATGGGGGCTCTGGGATGAAGTTTGATGGGAGAAGGGCTGTGGAACCCCTAATTTATTTTCAGTCTTACTTGGCTAGCTGCCATTCTGCTGCATGTGGCGTGTCGCTTGTACCCGTCCACTCTCGGGTGACCTCCGTGTAGTTCTGGAAAGGATATTTGACCTGAATTCTCACATGACCTTGGTGGGGCAGAACCATACCCTCCTTTCTAACAGGCTCTACTGAACCCCGTGTGGCATAATGTGGCAACAAGGCTTTCTTTATGGCTTTGGGAAACGTAGCATCTTTTGAGTAATTCCTTTACTGTTAGTGAAACACTGCTTAATATTAGATTCACTTATTTATTTAACAAAGTTTTACTGAATGTGTGCTGTATGCCAGGCACTGTTCCAAATACTGAGGATAGAGCAGCAAACAAGATACATGAAAATCCCTCCCTCTAATGCACGGAAGTCCTCTTGGCGAAGTCACAGCATGTCTGCGGTCTCTCTGCATAAGGGGATTGGGGGGTCTTTGAAATTTGCCCCTTTGAACAGGATGTGGGCACACTGGCTGCCCACAGGCGGGACACCCCTCAGTGTCTCCAGTGGAGAGGACAAGAAGACACGGGACACAGACGCAGCTCCCTGGTTCCCTAAAGAAGAGCAGGGGTGCGGAGATAGACTTCGTGGCTCGGCTGAGCACTCGGCCCAGGGCAGATGGAAAACGTGTGACTGGGATGCCTCAGAGGGAGGTGCGTGTCCACCTGGAAGCAGGTGGTGGTGTTGTGGAAAGAGTGTCTCAGTGATCAAAGTGGCAAAGCTGAACAATTGCAATGAAACTGCCATAGCATAGGGGGTAGGGAAGTACAGAGGTGATGATTATTGTGCTACATACTGGACCCTCTGTCAACTTGCCAGTTGGTAGGACAGAAGTCGTCAGGGGCACTGTGACTCACCGGCCATGGCCCAGCCCCTCGAGGTGCCCCATCTGCTGCTGTCAGCAGATGCTTGGTTTGTGTTTTCCTCCCTTCGAGGTTGTCAGGTGGGCTGACAGGATCTGCATGGTCAGCAGCTTTGTTCCTCCCCGCTGGTTGCCTGCTTGGCCCCAGGAAACGCTGCTGCTGCAGCCTCCTGGCCATGCCCGGCATGTGGGAGCATGCACAGGGGCCCTGGCACCAGAGTGGTCTCCCCAAGGGTTGGAAGGGCCTGGAGTTCCTCAAGGCCCCTGGTCAGCTGCGTACTTTTGCATTCTGCGCTGTCTCCTCTTTTCATGCACGGCGTAGAGTAATGACGACCTGTTCTGGAAAGGATTTATAAGATGCCATAAATTAAAAAAAGGATGAAAGAAAAACAAGAGTGGAGACAGAGTAGAGCCTGACGTGAGTCTAGAAATGTATCAGATGTTAACCTTGATGGACTGTATATTTGTAAAGTTGCCAGTGGAGCTGCAGATGCAGAGGAAGCCCGGGCCCCAGCCCTGCCTGCACCTTGGCATTGCCTGAGGTGCTCTGAGAAAGGCCAGTGCTGGACCGCCGAGCGAGCGAACCAGCATCTCCGGGGTGTGCCCACGCGCTGGTATTTTTAAAGCCCCCAGGTGGGTCTAACGTGTACCCAAGGTTGACCCCACCGACATACCTTCTTGCAGGCTGTGTGGGAGGAAACCGGGCAGGGCACAATCATCTGTGTCTTTAAGATGAAAAAGAAGTACTCAGGAGAAGCAAAGGCTTCTTGGTCCTGAGAGAAGCAGGGACTTTGTCCTGAGGGTCCCTGGTTAAGAGGTGCAAAGAGCAAGTTTTAGGCTGTCTCTTGAAATGACCCCCGTTGAAAGTGCAGTTTGGTGGCTGCATTTCAGCTGGACCCAGGGTGCTAAGTGGGGCAGGAGGTCTAGGCATCCTGGGCTCTGCACCTCCAGCTTCCCGAGCCGGAGAACTTATGGACCCCTGGAAATACAGCCCAAGAGTTCAATTGTGAGTTAGATGCTGTCACTTTAGATCAGTGCGTCTCCCCTCGTTCAAAACCCAGTACTCCCTTTTAGTGCAAATATTTTAAACACCCCTTTTAAAATTTTGAAATAATAAAACTTACCTACAATGTAATTTCCAAATAATGAATATAATAGCCAGATGTAAAGAATAAATAAAAGTAATTTGTATCAGAATTATGTATTTCAGTGTGTGGATGCTTTGGCAGAGCCAGCTAGAACCAGATGAGGCCACCCGATGTGTTATGTAGACTGCCCGTAGGACAGCATGGGACAGCTGCCAGTCAGCCTGGAACAGATGAGTCCTGGTGTAGGCCCAGATACCACTGACTGAGGAGTGACTCTTGGTCAAGGTCTAAATGCTGGTCAAAGGCCAGCCCTCCCTCCCTTTTCACAATAGTTGCATTCCTGGAAAATTCAGTATGTTTGAAAAGTGTGCTGAAAATATATATTTTATGTAAGTGTAGGATGGAGTTAGACACTAGGCTCCAAAATGAAAAATGATGTTCTCCATTGGCCTGAACGTCTGTGTGATGCCTGGAAGTCATGCGGGATGAGGACAAGTTTTTCTGGGCAGAATTGCCCTGTGTTGTTCCGGAAGTCTGGCACCCCTGGCCTCCACCACCGCATGCATCGTTGTGATCACCCAAATTGTCACCTTCCCCACACTTTTCAAAATGCTCCCTCAGGGGCCGTACTGGCCCCTTTGACAACCACTGTGTTCCTTACATCACTTGGTAATAAGTGATTACAGCACTGATGCTGATGTGCACCCTGAAATAGCAGGGCCCTGAGAGGGATGAGCCAGCATCCGGAGTGCACGCATGTGAATTGTTAAAGGATCGTAGAGGTGCTGATAGAAAGCAGAACAGTGTGGCCGGATGCAGTGAGGGGTGACTACTGGGGGACACAAGGGAATGTTAGGGGGGTTGGAAATGGTCACTGTCTTGATGGGGTATTCCTGGTGTATACAGTTGTCACAGTGAATGGAATTGTAACTTAAGATTTGTTGTGTGCTTCACTGTATGCATATTTTACCTTAATAAAAACCCCCACAGAAGTGAAAACAATTAAAAATTCTTATGGAGAAAGTCTAGTCCTCTGAGACTCGAGCTGTAGATCCCACTTTGAGAAACAGAACTGTTCTCTCCCGACTGAAAGGCAGTACTCGGGGACATTCTCTTTCTCGCAGTCACCCTTCTGGCAAGTCGAGTGTGGCTGCACTCAATATCACGGCCTTTGGCCAGTGTCTCGATTGGAGCTGCGCTGGAGGCATGAAAGAGGCTGCGAAGGGCAAGGCTGGGCATTTAAAAGGGGTTGAGGGACGGGAAACCAGAGCCATTCCCATCTCTGGGTCTGGTTCCTGCTGTCCGGGAGCCCTAACTCATTCCTGGGGGTGAAGTGGAGACCTTGTCCACTCACCCTAGCGGTCAGAGGCTGGAGTCCAGCCCATTCTGTTTGTAGCAGTCCTCTTGTGACAGCGGTCATGTCCCTCTGTGTCTCATTTTCCCCTTTGCCCTTAAAACCCATGTGAAACCACCAGTCAAACCACCAATCTGGTGGCTTTGTGCCCTGTAAGAGCTGAGTAACTTTCATTTCGTAGCAACACCTCAAACCTCCCTGGCTATTTTTACTTTGTCTTCGTATCCTTCTGCATGATACCCTTTGATGATTAAGTAGCTTTCCTTGCCTCGTGGATATGGGTAAGTAAGCCAGGTAACTACTGTGAGCTAGGCTGTTGGATCCATCCGCTGATAGGAAGGTGGCCAAAGTGTCCGTGTGTCTTGGACTTTCTGAAATGATGAGTATTGCCTCTGCTGTGGAGGTGGTTTTGTTTGCCCATAGTTCTGTAAAGCTCTTTCCCTGGGGGAGGATCGGTGTAGCCATGCTGAGCGCACAGTGGGCTTTGTTCATCTCTGCAGGACGGAATCAGTCATGTCACATTTGGAGCACACTGTGGTGACCCCAGACTCCTCTGTGGTCACTTCCACGTTTTCCTTCCCTGTCTCGAGTGTGGAACCATCCTCGGGGCTCCTCAGTAGTTAGAGTTAGTAGGGTAGTTGCTCTGTCTGTCTGGACCCATAGGTGGGAGTTTGTGGGGCCCTGGTGCTTCTGTTTCTCCTCAGTGGGCCTGAAGAGAGATGACTGTGGGTGTTTACGTAGGGCAGCGCCTTGCAGATTTCACCGTCAAAAGACTCCTTTTGGGAAATGAGAAGTAAATGCTCCACCCGGCGCTCCAAAGGAGCTCACCTTAGGGTCTGTGTCTTCAATGCCTCACGTTTTATCTCTGGGAGATTTTTCTTTCTGTTTCATAATACAGCCGTGTTTTCTCTAATATAACTCCCCCAGAAAATCTTTGAGTAAAATCAGTACCCCAGGAAGATAGACGCTGAGTTCCCTGGCTGTCTACAGCTTCTTCTTAGGGATTTGTGGATTCTAGTTTAAGAAGCAGATTGGTGGTGCCGGCCCAGTGGTGCAGAGCTTAAGTTTGCACGCTCCACTTCGGCAGCCCGGGATTCGCCGGTGTGGACCTGTGCATCACTTATCAAGCCATGCTGTGGCAGGCGTCCCACATATAAAGTAGAGCAAGATGGGCACGGATGTTAGCTCAGGGCTAATCTTCCTCAAAAAAAAAAAGAAACAAAGACTTGGGTAAGTACAGATTCTAAAATGTTTTCCACAATCATGTGCTTCTATGGCATTATAAGTAAATTCCTTCATGCCTTGTCTTTACAACTGACATTTTTGGTCTTAACAATATTTGAATCCTTGTAACAGGTGAAGATGATAATTATGGGTTTTGTTTTAATACCATAACCCATTCTTTACATGTTTCCACTGGTTTTGCATAGAACTTGGAGGCTGTGATATTTGATGACCTAAAGAACCCGCTTTAGTCCTTGCTTTTTACAAGGACTCGTCCACCGACCGCTCTCAATTACGGTCCATGAGTTGGAGCTTAATTCTCTGAAGCTCTCTCCATTATGTCAGATACACCTTTAGACACATATTGATTAATGTTTGGGATGAGAAGTTGTATTAAATGATGCTGTGCATGTATTTACGAGGCACTCAGTGTGAAGAGCGAGTTGGTATGAGATGGAGAAGTGGAAAGTACCGTTAGGATTTCCTTTTAAGTTTCGGATCTGGGCCTCTGCTACTTCAGGTTCCTGAAAGAAGGAGGAGTCACCTAGTGCTGTCTTCTCTCTCTTCTTGGGTTCCTGCAGATGTTTGGCTGCTGTACAACTTCTCTTAGACCCAGGCAGGAGAGGTCTCTCCAGGCCCCGTACTTTGAAGGGTTCTGCTCGCTTCTCAGCCAGCCACATGCCCGAGCCACATTCCACGTGCCTTGGTCTGGAGGGCCAAGAGCTTGTGCACGTTTGGAACCTGTGCCAACCAGCCCCTCCCTCTTGGCCATGACCCAGGTACCCGGGACCCTCGGAATTCCCTGCCCAAATAGGCTCAACTCTGATTCCAGGACCTAGGCAGGCCTCTCTCCTGGGTTGTCCCCTGTGAACTCCACTGCTAGTTTGCCTCCCTGGTCTCTGGAATGGCCAGGGCTGTATGGAGGGTAATGTCTACCTGTGTGCACATTCAGGGCCCTTCTTAATATGGGATGGGGCTGGGGGCAGGCTGGGGAGTCAGGCTTGGAGGTTAATTTAGATAGAAACAAATTTGGAAACTAGCCACATTGGGGCACTGCTCTGTGCAGATGCTGTGTGGGACAGTGCAGCCTGTGCTCAGACACTGCCCCCGGTACCAGGTGCTGCCACTCTCCCCAGAAGTGGACCCACATGGCACATGCATCTTCATGATGTCTGGGTTGTGTCTGGTGCCTGGCTTCCGTCCTGGAAGGTAAGGTTCACAATGTGGGGGAATTCCTCAGGAACAAGAAGGAAATTCCTCAAGATTGTGGGAAATTCCTCAAGAATAAGAAGGCGTTAATAGATGTGATGTGGCCACAAAGTAGGAACACATGCCCTTTCCCCCTACACCGGGGCCCTGGGCCTTGACGAAGCCACCTGGGTTCTCACAACAGCCCCTGTGTCCCCTAGCTGTCACTTTCCCTGTGTCTGCACTGAGTGTGGAATCCCCTGCAGAGTGACAGGACGGCGCTGGGAGGGGAAGTCAGTTCTCCCTGGAAGAGGGGCTTCTGTTGGGGCCTGTATGTTCCTTGGAAATTCTTATATTTAATCTCTGCTTCTGTAACTTAATTCACCTTGAAGTCTCTCATTCTGGGTCTAGTAGGAAATTGCTTCGTGCCTCCAGTGTGCATTTTCATTTTCTCTTTAACAAACAAGTAGCTTTGTGTGTAAGTCCCTTGTGCTACATAGTTGTGTTGTGATATACCCATGTTTCCAGATATCCTGTGATCACTAAAAAGCACTGGGCATTCTACTCCAGAAGTTCACAGTATCTAGCTTTTTCATATGAATGTCATAGAAAGCTGTTCTTCCTGTTTTCACACCACTGCACCGCAGTGACCGGACCAGGCCGCTGGGTGACCCGCCATGCCCCGGCTGACTGCCCCAGGCTGGGCGTCAGTTCCTCAGTGCACCGCCTGCCTCTGCACATCAGGTGGGAGCTGCTATGGGGAGGGCGGTAGCAAGTCCCGGGACTTCGTATGGAATACAGGTGTCGCTGCAGCTGCGGGTAGAAGGGGCGCAGTATGTGAGGGCTTGTTAATTTATCTGGGGAGTTAATCCTTCCCCTTAACTTAATTGATTTATCTTATGTGGAAAAGTCATCTGAAAAATAACCGGGTGGAATAACTCTGTGACTTTTCATTGTTGCTATTTTCTAAAAGCACATTTTGAATTTTACTGTAAGTCAATTTTAAAATCTCAGCGGACTTTGCTGGGTAGCCTCTGAGGCAGGAGGCTTATTTGCCGGGTTCTTCTTCTGGCATTAACGGGTCTCCACCTCCATCCTGCTCCTGGGGCCCCCTCCGCAGGGCCCTCCCCACCTCTGGGTGGGAGCTCTCTGTCTGACCCCTCAAGGAGCATCCTGCTTTCCCCAGGAGGATTCCTGGTCATCGCCAGAGCCCCGTACTAGTTCCCCTTGCATTTCCATTCTCTGACCCACTCACAGTACCCATATTCCATCCTCTGCCGTCATTGATTCTTGGCCAGGTCTTTGTTCCTAGGCAATGACAGGCAAAGGTGGTGGGAGGGTGGATTCCTTCCTTCTTTCCTTCCTTGCTCCCTCCCTCCCTCCCTCCGATCCTCCCTCCCTCTCTTCCTTCCTCTGTCCCTCTCTCTCACTACATGCAAGAAGTGTGGATGGGGCCTGCCTCACAGGACTGTGGGAGCAGGGAGGGTCTACTCTGTGCTGCCCTCTCCCCTGGCCCAGATCAGAAAGGCCAGCAAGCAAGGGAGCCACCCATTGCTGCCAGAGCCCTGGTCCCAGAGCCAGACGTCTGAGGCAGCCGGTGCACTGTGCCAGGAAGACCCTGTGTGACTTGGCGCTCCTGCCTGTGGAGGACGAGGTGTCTGCAGGGGCCCCTGGGAAGGGCTTCTGATCAGGATTCGCTCAGAGCTGGCCGACTAGGAAGGGTCGAATTGAATGACAGTCCCGGGAAGCACCACAGAGGCATCACGGAGGCAGAAGGCTATGGTGCTGACCGTGTGCGTGTGCGAGGAGCCTGTGCAGGGAGTGGCAAGCCCGGAGGTGAAGGCAGGAGAGTGGGTGCTGTCGCCCTTGTCCCAGGAGCAGCCAGGAGGGCTGATGGGCGGCCCGGTGCTGCAGAGCTGACCAGGAAGAGCAAGACCCTGCGGCCCTTGGCGCTGAGGAGCTAGGCGCTCTGGTGGCGCAGGCAGTGCCTTCAGAGGAGCAGTGGGCGTCGGAGGCAGCGGGGGGCTGGGCACTAGGGATGGGGACGAGGCAGTGAACAGAAAAGCCTTTAAGAATAAAAAGTGAACTCTTTTAAGAAGTTTCTGGGGCAAGAGGAAGAGGGGAGGGGAAGGAGTTAAGGGGCACGTGGGGAGTCAACTCCTCTGCAAAAGGCTTCCTGGGCCTGCCAACTAAGTTCACCCTCTCGCCGGCCTCCTCCCCTGCCCCGCCCGCTCTGTTACTTTCTCCGATGTTCTCCAGTGATTGCCCTCAGCTGCGGTCAGTTTTGGCCACACTCACCGAGATGGGGAAGGACCATGCTGGGGCCGGAACAGGAAGATCAGCGGGTCCCCTCTGATTCCGGGCTGTGTCACGATTCACGGAGTTGAGCCGCTGTGCTCTGACACCTTAATGACGTGCTGTGTGCTGAAGTCTAAAGTGAATAATAAGGTGGCATTTAGAACATTTAGTCCGAGCAAAACGCTTGGCATTCAATTAGTCAGGCTGTTTTATTGACTGGGCATTGAAAGCCCTTATGCTTGGGCCTTACAAGCTTTTCAGAGGCCTAAGGGAGTGATTCAGAGCTGAAAAAAAGAATTAGACTTCAAAATACTAAAAGTAAAGTGCAACACCAGGGAAGGAATGGTGAGATGTCGACGAGGCATAACGGCAGGGCAGTCACAGCTCAGCTTTTTGAAGTTATTTCAAATTATGTAATTTGGAAGGCAGGTATCTTAATATGCTTGGTCTAAGAAAGAGCAAGGACTCAGCGAGTGTGCCTTTTCTTAAAAAGGAGCTGTTCGGGGACCGGCCTGGTGGTGTAGTGGTTAGGTTCACATGCTCCACTTCAGCGGCCGAGGTTTACAGGTTCGGATCCTGGGTGTGGACCTACACACCACTCATCAAGCCATGCTGTAGTGGCGTCCCATATACAAAATAGAGGAAGATTGGCAACAGATGTTAGCTCAGGGCAAATCTTCCTCACCAAAAATAATAAATAAATAAAAAAGGGCTGTTCATTTTTTTCTGGCATGTGATGCATTTCTCTGAGCTGTGTTCTCCAGGCGCATTAAGCCATGAGATCCCCATAGGTGATCTGATCCACTGTTGCATCCCCATGTCTTGCAAAGTGGCAGCTGTGACTATTCCATCGAGAAGAGCTGGTGACATCAACCTCTTTGTATTCCTCGCTCCCCTGACTTCATTTTCTGAAACCATTGTCTCAAAGGACCGTGGGACATATGCTCTTTAAACTTATGACTCATTTTTGTAAGCTTGTTTTGGCCTTTTTTTTGGCCACCTCTTGAGATGTGTGTGGCTGTCGGTGACTTTAAGCTTCTTCATTTAAGCTTATGCTCATGTGTGCTCTTCTCTCCCCAGGTAGACACGCCCCCTTAAAGACGGTGATTCCCTCCTGAGGAGCAGGACCACTTGTACGAGAAAAGGCCTCCTCCACGGTAACAGGGCTTGTTGGCTCCAGGGGCCCGCGACCTTTTCTCCTCAGCAGCGGAAGTCCTCCAACGTCAGTTTCAGGTGGTCTTGGGGTCTCTCCCCTTGTATACAAAAGTACTTTATTTTTGTCGGTACGTTTTTCTTTGGGGCAGCTCTATGGTTTTATCAGATTTCTGAAGGGGTCTGCGACCTCAGTAAGAGCTCCTGCTCACCCACTCTCAGGGTCACTTTAGCTACGGTTGTGACCTGGGTGATGATGGCTCCCAGTTCAGTGTCTGAGCTCTCTGTGGTTCCAGCACATTCCGAGCCTCGCTGTCCATGTCACTTAACTTTCCCCTCACCCTCCAAGTCTCCATTTCAGTTGGAAGCAACACTGCTCACCTAGTGCCAGCAGACCCAGGTCCAGTGGTGCTATGAGCGACCTCTGGGCATCTCCTTGGGCTCTCTGTGGCCGCTGGAACCCGCCCTCCTTACGCTGGTCCCCACCTTAGTGAGTCAGCGCTGGGGCAGCCCAGACTTCCTCAGTCACTCCTCTCTTATTGCCTCTGAGGGGGTCTCAGCTATGCCCCCTTCTGTCTGTCCCCCACTGCTGCCTGGCTCAGCCCGCATCCTCTCTCATCTGGACATCCCATCCGCGACAGCCTGTTCTCCCTGCCTCCCCTCTTGTCTCCAGTTTATATTCCATACAGGTGCCAAAATTTCTATAAAAAGTGAACATCTGATCATATGCCACCCCGTGGCTTAAAACCTTTAAGTGGTGTTTTTGCCACCTGCAAATTGTAGTCCCCACTCCTTGCAAGACTGTTTGTGTTCTGGGCACTTTCAGCCTCCCCACCTGTGCCTCTTGGTACCCTACCTTTGGTTTATGCTCCGAACATGCTGATCCCCTCCTCCCGCCCCTTCCACCCCGTGAGCCTCAGGTACACCTCATCCAGGAGCCTGCCTCCAGGCTGAATTAGGGCCCTGTTTTGCCTTGTGCCCTGGGCATTTCTCTACCCATCGACACTCCCCATCACTGTATAACTGTGGACATGCCCACTTCCCCTGCTGGCTGATGAGCTCTTTGAGCCAGACCCTGGGTCATTATTCCTATGTTTGTTTCCAGAGCCAAGTGTGAATGCAGACAGGTAGTAGATATCCCATATACAGTTGTTGAATTTGGCAGTGAATGAATAAATAAATGAATGGATATCTGAAAACCTTTTATCAAAACTTATATTTGTCATCCGAGCATGGGGTGATTTATAATAGCTAACATTTGAGTATGACCATTAGCCCGGCAATGTTCTAAGCCCTTCACATGTGACAACTCGTTCAATCCTCACCCCAGCCGTCAACAACAAATACTGTCACTGTCATCCCCATTTGTCAAATGGGGAACTGAGGCACCAAGGCTGAGTCCTTGATGGGGTTGTGGGCTGTATCTTGTGATCACGTGAGGCTAATGCCTCAATTGTGGCCATCTTGAGGAGCAGGTTCTTGTTGTATTTTATTACTTTTGTCTCTGGCACTAGCACTCTGCCTGGCGTGCAGTAGAACACACATGTTGCTGAGGGACTTCCTGGCTTGGCCAGCCTTTCCGCTACTGGCACTATGAAGGCTAGTCAGGTTTGGCTTCACCCTCAGAATTTCTGTGTTGTTTCGGGCATAATGAAGTTTGTGCTGATTTCGTCAGGAGCATGTTTAGTTTTAGTCTTGGGTGCATCTTTACCTCCTTCCTTTGCACTATCCTCTCTCCCTTAGGTCATGTGACCCTCGACCCCCATCTCATGGCCTGAGGCTGACCCCCTTGCCCTGGGGTTCTGAGAAAGCCGCCTGCTGAGGAGAAGGGGCCACTCCCCCTCTGAGGCTTTTTCCCAGAGCAGTCCTGGGGCAGGCGAAGTCAAACCTGGACCCGTGGGGCTCGGCGCCTGTGTTTTATAGACTATCAGAGCAGGAGGGGTCTGAGATCACCTGAGTCATCGCCCACCTGTACAGATGAGGAAACTGAGGCCCAAGGAGGAGTCATGTCCAAGGTCACACTGCCCTTTGGTGGCAGGCCACCAGCCCTGGACTTGGAATGATTAAATGTTGTTTCCCCATGATTAATTTGGAATTATGTCTCGAGGTGTACTCTGTACAAAATTCAGTCTGGCATCTTCTTTCTCCCCTGCCTAGTAATCAAATAAGCCAGATCTTGTAACTCATGAACTAACAGCTGGCAGCGTTCACTTGTTCAGTTGGTTTCATGGTGCCTTTATTTTGCTGTTGATAAATTAACGTGAGTCACCGATTGTCCTGAAAGTGGTAATTGGGAAACATTTTAACTCTTTACTTTCCTCCTCTTTAACATAGAGACTTAAAGCACTTTCACAGTTACAGGAAGAGGTAATAAGCCAGGCCGTAAGACTCCACAGCCTTCAAGCTGGTTTTAATAATTTGAATATAGGTTAAAGGCAAATATGATAATCTATTAATCTAGGGTAATTTGGGAGGCCAAGTTAGGTGAATAAAATGTCAGCATTACAGGATATTTAAGGAATGCGGTCTTACTGCTCTGAGGGAGGTTTCAAGGTTTGAACCAGGCTTAGCAATCATTGTCCTCATGCCGGGGGTAAGCTGACGAGATTATGGACGGGGGTGTCTCTCATGATTAGAAAGTCTTTTTTCCCCTGCATTTATTTAAAAATCACATTGTGGTGTTTTTTATACATTTTAATACCATTTCTTTTTTCTTTTTTTTTTGAGGAAGATTAGCCCTGAGCTAACTGCTGCCAATGCTCCTCTTTTTGCTGAGGAAGACTGGCCCTGAGCTAACATCTGTGCCCATCTTCCTCTACTTTATATGTGGGACGCCTGCTACAGCATGGCTTGCCAAGCGGTGCCATGTCCACACCTGGGATCCAAACCAGCGAACCCCGGGCCGCTGAAGCGGAACGTGTGCACTTAACTGCTGTGCCACCGGGCCAGCCCCTTAATACCACTTCTTGAAGCGAACATTTTTCAGCTAATATTCAAATGATTGCATGTCATTACAGTCTGAATTAGTGATGTCTTAGTTGAAATATTTCTTTTTGAAGAAGAAGATTAGCTCTGAGCTACTCCTCCTCTTTTTGCTGAGGAAGGCCGACCCTGAGCTAACATCCGTGCCCATCTTCCTCTACTTTATATGTGGGATGCCTGCCACAGCATGGCTTGAGAAGCAGTGAATAGGTCCACATCTGAGATCTGAAACTGTGAACGCCAGGTCACCAAAGCAGAATGTGTAAACTTAACCGCTGTGCCACCGTGCTGGCCCCTTACTTGAAATATGTTATGTTTGTAGTTATAGCTTCAGATAAGAGTATAGGCAAATTTCATCGCCTATAAAAATTAATGGACAGAAGTTCTCAAAGTATGAAATTACATGGTCTACCCTGGATGTTGCCCCTGAGGTCAGGTAGAGGGGCTAGCCACTTCTTTTGTTCATTTTTTCATTTGTTCCACGAGAATTTGTTAAGTGCCTCCAAGTTCCCCGCACAGTGATGGATGCTGTGGGTACAGTGATAAGAAGGTCCTGGTGCCTGCCCTCAGGAGGCTTCCTGTCCTGCTGAAACTGCAGTAAAGTCTGCTAAGGCCTGTGATCGGCATACACACAGATTGCTGGGGGGCCCAGAGGAGGAAGGCTGAGCCAGGCAAGGGGGCTGGGGGCTCCCTGCGCAGGGTGGGAGGAGGGAGACACGGCTGAGAGCTGATGGATGTGGGAGGTGGCCAGGTGAAGGGAGGAGGGCATGGTGAAGACAGAGGCCCTGAGGCTGGAGAACAGGGCAGGGTGACGGCTGACTGGGGACTGGGCTGGGGAGGGAGGTGGGGATTGAGTCTGGAGAGGTGAGGCGGGGCCTCAGCACAAGGACCCGCATGTGTTTGCTAAGGAGTTTGGGCTTTTTCGGGGCACTGGGGAGCCAATGAGGTGTTTTGAAACGATCATTCGGTAACTGTGAGTTCATAGGTTCTCTGGATAGAGTGGAAGCAATAAATCCATAGGCAGAGAGACCAAAAAGGAGCCGTTGGTGGCCGTAATTAATCCACGCAGGAGATGGTGATTGCTTGAGCTAAAGAGGCTTCGGCAGTGGCCTTGAGTGACAGGGCCACTTGGTGATCTAAGGAGGTGGACTGGTTAGGGCTGGGTGGGAGATCCGCTGGGGTGGCGTCAGGATCCTTGAGCCCACGTCTCTCGTTGAGCGGGTGTGCAGTGCTCGGCCTGTCACTGAGGAGGGGAGCAAGTTTGGTGGGAGAGAATGAGTTGGGTTTGGGGCCTATTGAGTTTGAGGTGCTCATGGGCCTGTGAATAGATTAGTGCAGAAGTTCACTGGAGGTGCGGGGCTGGAAATTGTTGCACGTAATTGTAGGGTCCCCACTCAGGAGCAGCTAACAGGGACATTCCAAAAGGAGAAGAGGCTGCAATGAACATTAACTTCACTTGGGCTTGAGAAGTTTAGAAAAGCAGCCAAAACTGAGGTTGTTCACATTCAATTGATCCTATGTCAGTGACGTTGTTTTATAGATAAGGCAATGGGCATGATTTCCTTCCAGCATCAATCAATCAAGTGCTTAATTTGATGATGTCCCCTGCCATGTGTATGGACAAAGTGCTATTAATGAAAACCGTATGTGACTAGGACCTCAGTTACTATGCAGCCGGATCACTGACCGATCCCTGTCGTAGCTGATGCCCTGTCGGTTGGGCCTTTAAACCACTCAGAGGGGCTGTGGAGGTGTTGTTTTCGTATTTTTCTTTGTGATAAGCTTAATACATCCTTATTGTAGAAATTTTAGATAGAAAGCCACGGAGAAGGGGAAAACCACCCAACCACAAAAACTAACCTAATTTTAGTTTGTTATCATTTCTTATAGTCTTTTTTGGGTGTATTTCTATGTAGCTGTATCATTTCGTACAAATGGTTTAGTGTTTTACCTTATAAAGTGCAGGTGTAGCTTTAAGCTGGATCTGAAAGTGTGGGGAGACTTTTGCAAGTGGGTCCTGGTAGTGGGGTGCATTCCAGGTGGGAACAAACCCCCATTAAGTAGAGGCGACATGGTTTAGGGTTTAGAGAATAGTCTATTTTGGATATAGCATAGATTAGGTTTTGGGGAAATTTAAATGGGATTCAAGACTAGAGATGAATATTGGGGCAAATGATGGAAGTTTTATTAATCTTGAGTTTGAGTTTGTCCCCATTTCCATTGAAAATCTCCATCCCCTTGTGCCCTCTTCTCATGACGCGTGAGCACGTTAATGACGTGGGGAGACTAACCCATCAGTATGACTTGGGGGGAGGGTGGGGCAGGTGGGCAGTCAGTGTATGTAGTTTTAGAGATTTTCTGGAATAGTAACATTTTTCTGTTTTTCTTCCATTCCTGTTTTTCCAGGAGAATATGAAAGTGTTACCCAGGCTTGTTTGTTTCATAGCTCTGCTGATTTCTTCTCTGGAGGCCGGTGAGTTAAGCATTTCCTTGGGTTCTTGTCTGCTAAGAAAATCTATTTAGAATACATGAAGTACCTTCCCTAACAGAGGCGTTTTTCTTACCTTTGTCTGTTGAATCCCAGGACACAGAGCCTCCTGGTCACAGAACGGTACTGTTGGATGTTCCTTTCAGCACCTTCACTTCTCATTCTCTCATTTACAGATTGGGAAACTGAGGCTCAGTGAGATTAAGAGCCCAGGTCATGTAGCTAGTTTCAGAGCAAGAGCGAACATCCGGGTCTCTGGTGTCTAGTCGGGCCTCTTCCCGATTTGTTGCTGATGGAAGAGTGTGATACGGGAAGTCCTGGCTTTCATTCGAAACAGATGTTGAGGGCAGGCTTGATGAATACACAGCTGAAAACCATCAAGAGACAGTTCTTTGTTCTCTCTGTTTATTCATTTTCTCTTCCTCTGTACCTCCCTTACTGCAAATGCATGGAGCCCCTACTGTGTGGCAAGCACTAAGTTCTGGGGATACAGCAGTGAATAATCAAGACAGAAATATCTGCCTGCATGGGGTTAACATTTAAGTAGGCGAGAGAGACAATACATTAGATAAATAAATATATATTAGGTCGTATGGTGGTAAGCAGACAGAGAGAAAAAAAGCAGGAAAGGAAGGGATAAACTTTTGGGATTTGGATGGACAGAAGGTTAAATTTTTTGATAGTGTGGCCAGAAAAGGCCTCACTGAGTTGACTTTTGAGTCAAACCTGAAGGAGGAGGAGGCAGCTATACAGATATCAGGTTGGGGGTGAGGAAATGTTCTAGGTGGCATGTGCCAAGGCCCTGAGGCCAAGAGTACTGGTATGTTCCAGGAACTAAAATACCAGTCTGGTTAGACCAGAGTGAAAGGTGAAGGATGTGATCATTTGCATAGTAGGGGGATGGTGGAGGGTTGATTGTGTAGAACCTTGTAGACATTCCTAAGGATCTTGGCTTGTACTCTGAGTGAGATGGGCAGACTGCAGGGTTCTATGTTCAACACTAGAGATGTGATCTAACTTACATATTAACAGGCTCATTCTGGTTCTCATATTGTGAACAGATCATAGGGAGGCAAAGGTAGAAACAGAGAGGCCATGTAGAAGGCTATTGCAATAATCCAGGCAAACTGTGGTGGTAGCTTGTTCTAGAGCAGCAAGGAGAAGTGAGCAATAGTCAGAATTTGGATATATTTTAGGATAGAGCCAACAGGGATTGCAGATAGATTGGATGTGGGTGTGAGAGAGAGAGAAGAATCAAGGATGACTCTGAGGGTTTTGGCCTGAGCAAATGCAAGCTGGAGTTGCCATTGATGGGATGGGGAAGCTCAACTGTTTAGACTGGACATGTTAAGTTTAGCTGTTCATTAGATGTCTAAATAGTGATGTTGACTAAGCAGGCTGAAGCCTGGGGAGAGGTCTGGCTTGGAGACCTCAACAAGAAGCTGGCATTAGACCCAGGAGACTGGATGGGGTCACCTGGGGAATGGGTGTGGTTAGAAAAGATAAGAACTTTAAGGACCGAATCCCATAGTCCTCCAGGGATTGGTGGTCAGGCTTCCACTCATCAGAGAGCCGGTGAAGGACTGGCCTGAAATGGAGGAGAGCTAGACAAGTGCCAAGGGAAGAAAGTGTTTCAACGATGAGCAAATAATACGTGTCAAATGCAGGTGTTAAATAAGATGACGTTGTTTTTTTGATTTAGGGAACTTAAAAGTGATAGGTGACCTTGATCAGAACGATTTTGGTGGAGTGGTGGAGCAAACGCCAGAGAAATAGAAGAGTGTGTCTGAGACCTTACTTAAGGTTTGCTCTTTTCATCACTGTGATTGCTGTTGCTCCTCCTAGTAGCTAAATACTTAGCAGCTCTCACTGGGCAGGTACTATGCTAAGTTCTTAGCCACTTTTATTTCAAGTCTATGTTTTTAAACAGATTTATATATATAGGTTATAATTGACATACAATAAACAACACGTTTAAAGTATACAATTTGATGTGTTGGCGTAGATATCTACCCCGAAACCATCATCACAATCAAGATAATGAATATATATCCATCATTCTCTAAAGCCTCCTTTTGATCTTTTCTAATTCCTCTTTCCCATCCCTCCCCGCTCCCTCACAGCCAGGAAACCATTGATCTGCTTTCTATCACTGTAAATTAATTTGGATTCTCTAGAGTTTTAAATAAATGGGATTATAAGGTATGCACTCTTCTTTTTTTTGTTTCTTTGGTCTGGCTTCTTTCGCTCAGCATAATTATTTTGAGACCCATTCATATTGTTGCATATATTAATAGTTATTGTTTTATTACTTCGTAGTAATCTTTTGTATAGATATATCACAACTTATTTATCCATTCACATGTTGATGCCCATTTCAGCTATTTCCAGTTTTTGACTATTAAAAATAAAGGTGCTGTGAACATTAGTGTACTTTGAATGGACACATACTTTCATTTCTCTTAGGTAAATACCTTGGTCATATGTTAGGCTTAGGCTTACGTGAAACATTTTAAGAAAGTGCCACAGTGTCTTTCAGTGTAGTTGTACCACTTTATACCCTCACCAGAGGTGCATGAGCATTCTAGCTCCTCCACATCCTCACAAACACTTGATACTGTCAACCTTTGAAGTTTTAATCCTAAAAGTAATAGTATCTGATTGTTGTTTTAATTTGATTTTGCTAATTATAATGAACATCTTTTTGTATGCTTTTTGCCATCCATATATCTTCTATGGTGAAATTTCCAAACCTCTTTCCAATTTTGCGTTGGGTTATCTGGCTTCTTATTATTGAGTTTTGAGAATTCTTTATTGTGTTCTGAATACAAGACCTTTATCATATATGTGATTTGTAAGTATTTTCTCCCAGTCTGTGGTTTGTCTTTTCATTTGCTTAAAGATGTCTTTCAAAAAGTAGAAGTTCTTAATTTTGATGAAGTCCAGTTTATCTTTTTTATTTCTTTTATGAGTTGTGCTTTTGGTATTATATCTAAAAAATCTTTGTCTGACCTTGGGTCACAAAAATATTTTCCTATATTTCTTTCTAGATGTTTTATACTGTTAGATTTTACGTTTAAGTCTGCTCTCTTTTGATTGATTTATAAGTCATTGTTTTATGCAGTTATTCTTTAAAATCATATAGGAAATAGAGGAAGTTATAAGCCCAAAGACATTCATACTGACTTGTGTATTCACCTGTGTAGTTACTCTTACTGATATTATTTATTTCTTCCTGTGGATTTGTTACTGTCTAGTGTAATTTCATTTCAGCCTTAGGGACTCTCTTTACCGTTTCTTGATGGATGAGTCTATTCACAGTGAACTCTCTCAGTTTTTGTTTATCTGGGAATGTCTTCATTTCTCCTTCATTTTTGAAGGATAGTTTTGCCAGATAGAGAATTCTTGGTTGGCGGTCTTTTTCTTTCAGCACTTTGAATACGTCACCCGCTGCTTTCTGGCCTATGTAGTTTCTGAGGATCAAGCTGTGATCTGACTGAAGCTCCCTTGTATGTGAGGAGGGGATTTTCTCTTACTGCTTTCAAGACTCTCTGTCTTTTAACAGTTTGGCTATGATGCATCTCAGAGTATATCTCTTTTAGCTTGTACTACTTGGAATTCTTTGAGATTCTTGGACATATAGATTAATGGTTTTCATCAAATTTGGGAAATTTTGGCCATTATTTCTTCAAATATTTTTGCTGACGCTTTCTCTCCTTTCCTTCTGGGACTTCTGTTATGCATATATTGGTGGTATTGATGACGCCCTACAGGCCTCTGAGGCTCTGTTTGGTTTTCTTGATTCTTTTTCAGACTGGATCATCTTCCAGGAATCAGATGACTTATCTTCAAGTTTACCAATTCTTTCTTCTGCCACTTCAAATCTGATGTTGAGCCCCTGAAGTGAATCTTTCATTTCAGTTATTGGACTTTTCTACGCATAATTTCTCCTTGGTTCTCTTTGATAATTTCTTTTTATTGACATTTTTTCACTTGGTAAGACATTTCTGTTATAGTTTCTCTTAATTCTTTAGACGTGGTTTTCTTTAGTTCTTGGAACATATTTATAATAGCTGATTTAAAGTCTTTGTTTAGTAAGTCTAATATCTGAATCCCTCTGGGAATTTCTGTTGGCTTCTTTTTCCCCTGTGTGTGGGGAATACTTTCCTGTTTCTTTGCGTGTTTTGTTGAAAATTGGACATTTTAGGTGGTATAATGTGGCAACTCCAGAAATCAGATGCCCTGCCCACCATATGCAATGTTTGTGGTGGTTGTTGTTGCTGCTGCTGCTGCTGTTCATTTGTTTAATAACTTTCTTGGGCTAATTCCATAAAGTCTGTGTTTCCTGTATGGCCACTGAAGTCTCTGTGTGGAAAGCTAATGATTGATGAGATTTCCTGAGATTATTTGGACCAATAAGTCTTTTCCCTTTGCTGAGGGGGCTCTATGTGTGTGAGGCATGCCTTCAGGGGTTAGGCTGTTCACAGCTCTGTCTTAGCCTTTTCTTCATGCTTGTGCCTGACCTTGAGTCATCCAGATTTGAGGGATTGGTCCTTCTTTGGTCTTGTCTGGGCGTGTACACAGCCCTGCACACATGGGCACTCTTCTAGATTCCCCAGGAATACATTAGAGCTTTTCAAAGTGTGGACATTTAGTTCCCCATGTCTTCCTTTTGGCTGGACTCTTGTTTGTCTCAACTGGTATTAATTTTCAGGAAGCTGGAATTTTAAACAATTGCCACTGATTGACCTTTCCTTTTTTTACTGGACGTACTGAGGATAGGGCTTTTCCTGTGGAACTCTGAGCAGATCAATAACAACACCAATCTGTGAGTGTGACTTTTCCGGGAAGCTGCCAGTCAGGTTAAAGTGTGGCAGTGCTCTGAGAATGGGACTTTTTGAGGAGCTCCAAACCTGGTGTGCTCTTGCAAGGCTGCTGGTCTTCGCAGCTGCTCTGTTTGCAAGGCTGCTGGCTTTCAAGGTTATAGGAGAGCTGGGAAGAGGATAGAATGAGAGTAAGTTATAAAGCCGCAAACCCTGCTATTCTACTGAGAGTAAGCTGGTATTGTTGTTGTTTAATAAATGTTCTGAATGTTGCAAGCCTTTGATTTTGAAAAACTTTTTCCATCTTTTTGTTGTTTTTATGGAGCAATGGATTAATGGATACCCCTACTCTGCCATACTGGAAATCCTGCCTCAGACGTTCTTTTTTTTTGCATAAAGGTATCCAATTTCTTGGAAAGACTATCCTTTCACCACTGAATTTCCTTTGTGCCTTTGTAAGAAATCAATTGGATGTGTTTGTGTAGTTTATTTATGGGATCTCTATTCTGTTCCAGTGGCCTATTTATCTTTATGCCAATACTGCACTGTCTTTATTCCTGTGGCTTTATAATAAAGGTTGAAATAAGGCAGTGTAGCTCCCTCAACTTTGTTCTTTTTGAAATCAAGTTTATTTTGACTAATTCTATATGAAGTTTAGAATCAGCTTGTCAGTTTTATGAAAAACCCTGTTGAGATTTTATTGGGATTGAATTGGATATAAATCAACTTGGAGACAACTGGCACTTGAACAATGTCAAGTCTTCTGAGCCATGAACAGAATATATATGTCTTCATTTATTTAGATCTTTTAAAGTCTATTTAAGCAATACTTTGTAATTTTCATTGGAGAGGTCTGATGCATTTTTGTCAGATTATTCTTAATTATTCATATCTTTTGATGCTATTGTAAGTGGTATTTAAAAAATTAAGTTTTTAATTGTTCTTTGCTAGTATATGCAAACATTCAATTTTGCATATTCATACGTATCCTACAATTTACTAATCCTTCTAGGTCTTTTGTATATTTCATAGCATATTGTACATAAATGATCACGTTGTCTGCAAATAAAGGCATTTTACTTTCCCCTTCAATCTGGATGCCATTTATTTCTTCTTGCCTTAATGCGCTAACTGGATCTTCCAGTGCAATGTTGGATAGGAGTGGATAGAGTGGACATCCTAGCCTTGTTCCTGATCGTAATGGCTATGATAGCTGTAGGTTTTTCATAGCTGTCCTTTATTAAGTTCAGGAAGTTCTCCTCTATTCCTAGTTTGCTGAGGGTTTTTATCATGAATGGATACTTTTTATGCATCTATTGAGATGATTATGTAGTTTTTCTTTGAAAATCTATTAATATATTGGAATTTCATCAATTTTTTTATATGAATCCAACTTTGCATTCCTGGGATGTTATGTACATGATAATGCATTATCTTTTTTTGATATATTACAGGGTTCAATTTGCTAAAATATTTTGAGGAAATTTCAAACTGTCTATTTGATTAGGGTTAACATAGTATGTTCTTTCTTTTTTTTACTTTTAATGTGTTTGTGTCTTTACACTTAAAGTGTGTGTATGTGTGACAGCGTGTCTGTGTTAGGCAGCATGTAGTTGGAGCCTTCTTTCTTTATCCAGTCTGACCATCTCTGCCTTTCAATTGGGGTGTTTAGACAATTAAAAATTTTTAATATGGTTATTAATATGTTTGGGTTTAACTTTAGGATCTTGTTATTGTGTTTCCTATCTGTCCCACCAATTCTTTTTTCTTTCTTGCTGCTTTTTGGATTAATTGAGAATTTTCATGATTTATTTTATCTCCTGCATTGGCTTATATTAATAAATGGATTCTCTTTTAATAGCTACTCTAGGGTTTATAGTATGCATCTTTAACTTATCACTGTTTACCATCAAGTAATACTACACCATTTCACATATAGTATAAAAAACTTAAAACGGTGTACATCCACTTCTCTTTTCTTAAACTTTGGCCTGTTGTTCCCACACATTTTACTTCTTTGTATGTTATACATCTCACAATATATTACTATTCTTTCTTTAAACATTCGATTATATTTAAAGAAATTTAATTAATAAAAAAATATTATCCATGTAATAAACATTGCTGGTGTTATCTATTCCTTTGTGTAGATTTGTTTTTCATTTGATAGTATTTTCCTTCCTTCTGAAGGACTTCGTTGTGTTTTTCTGGTAATAGTGCAGGTCTACTGGTGATGAATTTTTACAGCTCTTATAAATAATGAAAAAAGTCTTTGTTTTACCTTCATTTTTCAAGGATATTTTCACTGGATATAGAATTCTAGGTTGTTGATATTTTTCTTTCAGTACTTGTCTTTATTCCCCTTTCTTCTGGCTTGTATTGTTTCTGGCAAGAAGGCTGCATCATTTTATCTTTGGTGTGGTTTTCTTCATGCTTCTTTTGTTAGGGATCATTGTGACTTTGGAGTCTGTGGGTATATCATTTTCATCAAATCTTGAAAAATTTCCACGTGTGTTTCTCCAAATACTTTTCCTGCTTCACCCACCTCTCCTCCTCTTCAGAGATTCATATTACATGGATTGAAGTTGTCCTGCTGCTAATTAATACCCTGTTTATTTTGTTCTGTTATTTTTCTCTCTGTGTTTAATTTTGAATGGTTTCTAATGCTATGACTTGAAGTTTACTAATCCTTTCTTCTGCAAAGTCAAATCTGCCATTAATCACATCCAATGTATTGGGTACAACACTGTAGTTTTTTCATCTCTAGAAGTTTGATTTAGGTTTTTAAAAAAATCTCTTTCATGTCTCAATGTGTTGCTCTAGCATCTTGAACAAATGGAACACAATAGTAATAACTATTTTAATTTTTCCATCTACTAATTCTATCATCTGTGTCATTTGTGGGTCAGTTTTGATTGATGGTTGTTTTTCTTCTTATTATTGGTTACGTTATCCTGCATCATGGTATGCCTAGTAATTTTTGATTGAATACTGAGTATTATCGATTATACCATTTTGGGTGCTGGATATTTTTGCATTACTGAAAATATTCCTGAGCTTTGTTCTGCCACAAGGTTGTTACTTGGAAACAATTGATCCTTTCAGGTCTTGCTTTTAAGCTTTATTAGTCAGGATCAGACCAAGGTTTATTCTAGGCCTAAGTTGCTCCATCTACTGAGGCAGAACCCTTCTGGGTCCTCTGCCTGATGCCCCATGATTAAAGAGGTTTTCCATTTGGGCTGTTGAGAATAGCAAACTATTCCCAGCATTGTGCATGCTCCAGGTGTTACTCACTCTGATGCTTTGGGCAGTTCTCACTCTGGCTCTGGGTAGTTTTCTTCTGTGCTTACACTAATTGAATCTCAGCTGGAAACTTGAGGGAGGCTCTCTGTAGATCTCCAAAGCTCTTTCTCCCTCTGTCTGCACCTCTGAATCTCTTTGATACTCTGCCCTGCAAACCTGGTTTCCCAGCTGCATCTCCACAACTTGGAGAGATCACTGGGCTTTGCCTCCGTTTCCTCCCTGCAGTATCAGGGCCTGGGATCTTTCTCTAGGCAGTAATTTGGGGAAAATTACAGGGCTCACCTCCTTTGTTTCCCATCTTTCTAGGATTTCCATCCTTTGTTCCCTGATGTTCAGTGTCTTGAACATTGTTGTTTCAGATACTTTGTCCATTTTTTAGTTGTTCAGGTGGGAGAGTAAATCCAGTTCCTGTTACTCCATCTTTCTACAGAAGCAGATATCTCTCCGGCTAGGTTATCGCCAATCTTTAGATGAATAAAGAGGGGATGAGAGAGGTTAAACCACTTGCTCAAGGACACACGGGTAGTAAGTGACACACTGGATTTGAATATAAATCTTTCAGACTCTCAAGATAATACTCTTACTCATAAGACTGTTAAAATTCTAATATAAAATATGAATTGATTTATTTAATAATTAATGTGTTTATATGTAGATATTACATTAAAAATGAACAGATTTCTTATAGAAATTGCTTTCCTTGTCTCCCTTTTAAAGATAAATGTGAGGAACGTGAAGAACCAATAGTTTTAGTTTCATCTGCATATGAAATTGACGTTCGGTCATGTCCTCTTAACCCAAATGAAAGCAATGGCACTATAATTTGGTATAAAAATGACAGCGAGACACCTGTGTCTATGGAACGAGACTCTAGGATTCATCAGTACAAAGATAAACTTTGGTTTGTTCCTGCTAAAATAGAGGATTCAGGACATTACTATTGTGCAGTAAGGTAAGAAAGGAATTAATATGTTACAAACGTGTTCTATGTACCTGCAATAGTTAAGGACAGAAAAATGTTTTCATAGTGCTTAATTCACCTATTTTGATTTATTTTAGAAATTCAACTTACTGCCTCAAAGTTAAAATAACTGCAAGGTTTGTACAGCATGAGCCTGACTTGTGTTACAATGCACAAGCTATATTTACACAGAAACTACCCCTTGGAGAAGATGGACTTCTAGTGTGTCCTTATTTGGAAGTTTTTAGAGATGAAAACAATGAGTTACCCGAAATACAGTGGTATAAGGTAATTTTATATTAAATATGGTATTTTACTTTTCCAGCAAATAAAATAGCTTTTTGTCATAGACAATAGAATGAAGCTGCAAAGTACTTTTTCCTTTGGCATATCGTTTGCTTTAGAGTGGTGAAACAAGAGGAAAGTTTTAAAAAGATGTAAGACTGCATACATTTAATTTGCAGCTAAACTAGAATGTTACTTTCTGTTATTTTGATTTAATAAGATACAGTTGAGAAAAGTATAGTAGGAATGAGAGGTGTTTAAAGAGAAGGCTTATTAGAAATTTAAGGTTTTTAAAGGATAACTATTTATTAAAAATATATTATTTTGTGTTTTATTAAAAACATTGTGGTCCTTAAATAACTTAGTGGTTTTTGTCTTAGTGGTTCTGTCTTAAAAGTGGATTGGCTAGCACTCCATGGGACACATTATGCATTGGCATCTTTGATCTACCTAGTCTGTTGGGGTTTCCAAGGGGAGTCATCTTGTCGAGGTTGAGAAATACAAAATAAATATCAATGAAGAAAGGAAGTACAGCCTTACTAAGAAACTATGGTGTTAGCATTCTTTCCTCAAACCTCTTTTCCTTGCAAAATAAATTTGTCTTCTCTTGTCTTCAAAGTGCAAGGCTCATAGGCATAAAGATTTAATATCCTAGGAATAAAATTATGACTTTTGCACAAAAAATACAATATTAGAACTTTTATGTAAGTATTTTCTATTCACATATATATGGATTTTATATAACATTTGCCAATGTGAAAAAATGCAGTTTCTTTTGCCAGTAGACTGGGGAAAGCGGTTAATCAGTTGTCAATCCTTCCTTCCTCTCTCTCTGTCTAGGATTGCCAACCTCTACTTCTCGACAATATAAACTTTATTGGAAAAACAGATAAACTCATTGTGGCGAATGTGACAGAAGCGCATAAAGGGCACTATACTTGTCATATATCCTACACACACTTGGGAAAACAATATCCTATTACCCGGGTTATAGGACTTATTACTCTAGGTGAGTCATAGCTCCAGTCCTAGGAGTTTAAATCTGGAAGAGCCCAGAGAGCATGATTCTAATATGACCTTCATTGTCCATGGAGGAACTGAATCCAAGAGAAACTTGATGATTTTCCAAAAGTCACTTGGCCTTAGTTTAGTTTTTGTTGCTAAATACCATGTAAATATTTTTCATTCCTGCTTTGGATGCAGTGCTAATTAAACAGACAGCATGTGCTATGTTTTCCAACTGAACTAGGAAGATTGTTCTTTGGCATGGCTACAGATGGTTCTTCCAGAGAGCTCTGGGGCTGTCTCCAGCTGGTGTATGAGGACAAGTCTGAGAACCTTCACTTGGGGAATCTGAGTGTCTAGCAGTGAGGATCATTTGCTTGATGGGGTGGATGCTAATGGGTTTTGGAATAAGTTACACTCCCAGAATCTACCTCTGGTTACTTCTCTGTCAGCCCAGTTACTTAACCTCTCTAAGCTTGTTTCCTCCTCTTTAAGAAGATGATACAACCTTCCAAAATTGTTGGGAAGGTTGGAGGTCGAGTGTGCTCAGCTTGTGGTCATCTGCCTGGTGCAATGCAGTGCCTGGTGCATAACGGATGAGCAATCAATAGGTATACGATGATTATTGTTAATTTTCCTGAGGCTTTCAATTCTCCATTAACCATATTTCATATTAAGAACGGTTTTACAACAAAATGCACTCCTATGAATTACTCAGGGATGGACAGAATGTTCAATCTTTCTGTAAATAACAGGTTTTATAAGTTTTTAGTAATATAAGAAGAGTTACTCTAACCAGGATTTGAGTTAAAGGAGTCTCTATTAATAATTATGCTGGAGGCTGGCCTGGTGGTTTAGTGGTTAAGTTCACACTCTCCGCTTTGACCGCCAGGGCTTCATGGGTTCAGATCCTAGGCGTGGACCTGCACTACTCATCAAGCCATGCTGTGGTGGCAACCCACATACAAAATAGAGGAAGATGGGCATGGATGTTAGCTCAGGGTTAATCTTCCTCACCAAAAAAAGAAAAAAATTATGCTGGGATAGCAGGTGTAAATAGGAAATATCCCAGCAACACCCAGAATATGATCACTCTACGCATAGCTAAGTTTTCTCAATTCTATAATAATTTGTTTTTTTCAAAGATTAATTTTATTAAATAAATGTTAATCTCTGCCTTGGTCCCCAAAACATCAGTGAATCGTAATTTTTTTTTTTAAGATTTTATTTTTTTCCTTTTTCTCCCCAAAGCCCCCAGGTACATAGCTGTGTATTCTTCGTTGTGGGTCCTTCTAGTTGTGGCATGTAGGACGCTGCCTCAGCATGGTTTGATGAGCAGTGCCATGTCCGCATCCAGGATTCGAACCAATGAAACACTGGGCCGCCTGCAGCGGAGCGCGCGAACTTAACCACTCAGCCACAGCGCCAGCCCCAGTGAATTGTAATTTTTAATAGTCCTTGTATCACGACCATCCTGAGTTCTTAGCAGCCTCTCTCTGGTCAGTGTGTAGCTCTTGAGATACAGCAACCAGACCAGCAGACAGAATTTTAGGAAAAACTGGACACTAGGGAACTTTTAAATAGGTCAAATATGTGTTAAATATTCTCCATTTCCTTTTCTGATCCCTTATGTAGAAATAATATACTTAATCAGGAGTGGGGCCATATTTTGTTTTCTTCTAAAGGCAGATTCAGAAGAATTTATTGAGCATCTACTCTGTGCCAGGCACTATTCCAGGAATTCATTAGGGAACGAAAGAGACGATATCCTGCCCTAATGGAGCGTCCTTTTCTTTGACTGTGGTAGAATACTTGGCATTTAAGTTCATAGTTTCTCAGACTTGGCTGCAGATCAACCCTTGAAGCCAATCTTTTTGTTAATAAAAGTCAGATTGATTTCTGGAGCTCCTTAATATTTTTCTGCTTATTTTAATAAATTACGCCAAATTGCTTGGCATTCCACTCTTGCGTCATTACGAACATTACTAAATACGAGTGTGTCTGTCACTGGATGGCTCTTCTGGTTAGTAATGCTCCATCCAGAGAAGTCCCTTTCCATGGAGACTTATTTTTCCTGATTGGCTTTAAGAGAGGCACTTGTCTGGAGACCCAGGCCCTGGGCTCATCTGTGTGTTTTTGTAGCTTCTGTGGGCTCAGAAGGGCCCGGCTGTGTAGTGGGTGTTCACGGTTCACTGTGGCCTCTGTGTCCGCTTCCTTCCTTCACCTCTTACCTCTCTTTCCTGCCATATCTCTGGGCACCCGGGGGAGCGTCTAGCCACATGCCATTTACTATATTTTGGTGTATTTTGCCAAGTGTTGTCATCATTTGAGATTCTGATCTATAAGCAACTGAGAAGCCCTGTGGATGTTTTTCTTTCAGATGAAATCAGGCCCACGAAGCCTCTGATCGTGAGTCCAGTTAATGAGACGATGGAAGTGGACTTGGGTAAGTGGACTCCAATCAAGATATGCTGAAATTGTTGTTTTGAACTAAAGATTAAGGTAAACTCTATGTTTACTACACGTAGCCTAAGTCGTTCACTGGATATATCTATAGTTAGAGGGGAAGTGGCACAGATTGTGTCTTAAATGTTTCTTTGGATTTCTTGTCTCTTATGGCAAAAATCTAGCCATGTTTGATTTACCCATCTTACTTTCCTGTGGACACTTATGACTCCTGAAAACATCAGCCAAAGGCCGAGTTTAACAGGCCTAGGAATGAGAAATGTAATTTATTTGGCACAAGATGGATTTCTTATAGCCAGAGCTAAGCTTTTAGGCAGAAGAGTAAGCCTACAGGCCAAATAGATAGTCATTGTAGAAAAATACTTTTCCAAGTTGGTGAGAATTTTTTATTTCAAAAATAAAGATGTAAACCTATAAGTGTCCAGACCTATGCTAACCAATACAGTGGCCACTGGTCACATGTGGCTATGTACATGTAAATTTGAATTAAGTAAATTAATTTAGTTCAATTAAAAATTAGTCCCTCAGTCAAGGGCTTAATAGCCATGTGTGACCAGTGACTACCCTATCAGACAGCACAAGCATAGAACATTCCTGCCATCACTGGGCGTTCTCTCGGAAGTCACTGGTCCAAACATAAAAACAGATTTTTGTATCAGAGGATCAAAAATCAGCCTGGTATAGAGAATTCTCATCTGTAGCAGCATTTGCATGAAGACAGTGAACAGTTGTACAGAGATTAGAAGGTAAAAGTTTGTGACCTATGAATTCTGTACTTGGCCAAGTTATTATTCATGGTGGAAGGTAATATAAAGACATTCTTACATGTAAACAAACAAATATATGAAAATTTAAAATTAAACAGAAGCCAATAGGATCTAGAACAGTGTTTCCAACCTTTTTTTTCCCCCATGATTGCTCCCCTTTAGAGCCTAAAAGGGCATTTTTTCCCCCTAATCCCCCTCCTCTTCTTGGAATTTTAATACCACAGCTATATTGTCATTTGTTGATGTGCTGTGGTACTTCAGAGAGCCACAAATCATTGCAATGGCTAAGATTTTCTTTCTCCCTCTCACCAAGAACCACTTTTTGCCCCATTGGCCATTGCTCCTCATGAGAATACACACTCTAGAGGCGTAGACCTTAGAGCTCTAAAGCCTGGGTTGCACTGATCTCCAAATCTAAAAGTAGCTTCATATCAGGAAACAATTATGTTAATATATCACATCGATCAGAGGCACACATCACTGTCATATGATAATCCTAGAGTGTCAAACAGGCGTTTGATAAGATTCAATACCAGTTACCAATAGAATGACTTAGAAAAAGAGGAATTGAGGGATGCGTCCTTAACTTAATAAATAACATCATTTCAAACCAATAGTCGCCAACATTTTTAATGGTGAAACATTGTAGTGTTAGGCTTTCTACATGCATGGACTTTCTCACTGAAGTCAAGAGCATGACAAAGATACCCACATAATCAGCATTACTTAACATGTTCTAGAAGTGTCCACTATCGCAATCAAAGATAACCAAGGCATGCTTACTGTAAGGAAGAAAATAAACTTCTTTATTATTTTCAGATCATATAATTATGTACCTACAAATCTCAAGAGAATTACTGGGAAAAAATTAGAATTAATTGACCAGATATAAAATTAATATTCTAAAATATTAGAATTGCTTAGCAATAACTAACTAGACAACATAATGGCAAGAGAGATCCTATTTGCAAGAGTAAACATCATAGAGAGGTCTATAAAATATCTTAGCACAATCTTTTAAAAATATATGGGATTGGGGCCTGTGGTTAAGTTTGCACACTCCACTTTGGCACTAGGGTTTCGCCGCTTCAGATGCTGGGCACGGACCTAGCACAGCTCATCCAGCCATGCTAAGGCTGCATTCCACATAGCAGAACTAGAAGGACCTGCAGCTAGAATATACAACTATGTATGGGGGTGTGTTGGGGAGAAGAAGAAGAGAAAAATATTGGCAATGGATGTTAGCTCAGGGCCAATCTTCAAGAAAAAAAACAAATATGGGATTTATAAGGGAGAAAAAACCAAACAAAAACCCCAAACCCTGACATATAAACCTCAGAAAAATAGATTTAAAGCATTTATTCTCCAGGCAGTGGTATGAAGGGGGTGTTGGTGTCTCCAGTGGGGAGAAAACTGGTTCTTGTAAGAAATCTTGTAAGAAATGTAAGAAAAAAACTGAAATCAACAGATACATTGTATATCTGTGGTATTAAAACTTCATGGAGAGGGAGGCAATTAGGATAAAATGCCTTGAAAGGCTCCAAAAGGAGCAATAATGAAAATTGTCTTGAGAAAGGCCAGTTTAAGGAAAACTGTAATAGAAATGTGTATGTTTTTCTTATAAGAAAAACTGGAAATTGTAAAGATATCAACTCAAAATTACAGATTTCATGGAATTCCGGTAAAACATAAATGGGCTAAAAAATTGACAAGTGATTCTAAAATTCACCTGGGAGAATAAAATAAGATTATTAAGACAATATTGGGAAGAAGAGCTCTAAATAATATTAATATTTACCCTAAAACTGTAGCAATTAAGAGTGTAGTACCCTTGGCATCAGTATACACATTCAGATCAACCAAGACAGTCCCAAATAAATAAGAATTTATTTTATGATAAAGGCGGCATTACAAATGAGTGAGGAAGAGATTTATTATTCAATAAGTGTTTCTGAAATGATCCATCAGCTGTTTGGATAAAAACATTAAGTTAGAGCACCCTCTCATACCAAAGCCAATTATATTCTGGACAGATTAAAGAGCTAAAACAATCAAAACAATAAAACAGTGAACACATTGTATAGAGAACATATGTGGATATCTTCCTGATTTGCTGGTAGAGAGGGCTTTAGAAAAAAATAGTGAAAACAGATACAATAAAGAAAACTGTTATAAATTTGAGCAAATAAAAAAAAATTTACACCAAAGAATTTCCACAAACAAAAATAAAGTGAAAGCAACAAACTGAAATATTTGGATATTTGGAATAGTTTTCACATGTGATAAAGACCTAATACCCTGATCAACACATCAATAAGGTTACTATGAGAATGCAATTAAATAATGGACAGTAGGCATAACAAGCAGTTCCTAAAAGAAAGGCAAATGAATGCTAAGCTTATGAAAAACATGTTAATTCACCATGAATTCCAGAAATGCAGTTGAAAGTTTAAATGGAATTGTTTTCTTCTCTCAATTGGCAATGACTAACCAAAAATATTTGGTATCTAGGGGTCTTAGGGGTAAATGGCACTCACATACGCTGCTGGGCAGAGTAGGGGGGCACCGTCTCACTTGGGAGGGGGAGTTGGCTTTTAAAATATGTCTCTCTTTTAACTCAACCCTACTTCCTGATTTTTATTCAAAGTAATACTTTAGGGTATGTACAATAATGATGTACAAGAATGTTCATTGGAATATTAATCATAATAGAAACAAATTGTGTTTAGCAATAGGAACATAACTAATCATAGTATGTCCGTATTCTGGAATAGTAGGCAGCCATGAAACAGCCTGTTTTGGAAGGCTATTCATGAGAGCCGAAATTCCCAGAGCACAGTAATTACAAATAGTAGACAGGAACACCTCATTTTAAAGATTGCATATGTGCACAGAGAGGATAAGGAATGAGGTACATAAAGTTACTAGTAGTGGCTTTCTCTGGGTTTAAGGACAATTTTCTTTTTCTTTGTGCTTTTCGATAATTTAAAATTTTTATTCAGTAGCCATTTGTTAATCTAGTGAGATAGAAAGATCAGATAAAAATCTGTTGATGCCGTGATTAAAAATACATTGCTTTGCAGGATCGCAGGTACAACTGATCTGCAATGTCACTGGCATGTTTACTGACTTTGTGTACTGGAGGTGGAATGGCTCATTAATTGATGACAGTGACCCAGTGCTGGTGGAAGAGTATAAACCGTAAGTATGCTAAGAGCCAGACATGCAATAGAGAAGTTTTGGTATTAAATTCCATGTCATACTTGTTATAACTCTGATAATTTAATCTTATGGCAAGGGTTAGTTGACAATTGACTAGTCCTTAACCTTTCGCTCCCCATATTGAGTTTTGCTAAGCTAAACAGGATGTAAATATATATACCTCGTACATTTAAGGTAAAAATACATGTCACTCTGGTGCAAATTCTGGACCACTTGGAAGGGAAACCTTAAATTCAGTTATATATGTTGCCACGTTCTAGTAAAGCAATTTTTCTGAATTACCTCCCTGTTATTCCATTTTTTAAGCAGTTTGACTCATTAAATGGGGCCAGGAATCAGCCACTCACTGCTCAAGTGTCTAATGGCTCCCTATTACCTCTCTAGAGGTAAACTCCTGACTCCTTAGCGTCACCTGCAGACCCTTTGTCATCTGCCCCAATCTACTCTTGTTTCATATATTCTCCTCTGTGCCTCATGGAGAACAGAATGCATATGTCTGCATTTTTCTTCCTGGAAGCTGGTAATTTTAATTTGATTTCTCTGCTACTGAGTCTTTTACTGACAAGGGTCTTAGGGCTGTAAAATATCAGATCAGTGTTGCTAACAGCCTGATCGTTATACCTGTGCTTGGGGCTGGTGATTCTTTCTGCTACGGTTTATGCAACAAAGAGACAAATTATTTGGAGTTGATGCCATTGACTTTAACAACTTTATTTATGCTCTCTCTTTTGAACAGAGTGGAAAACCCTTCCCTCAAAAGAAGGCATACACTTATCACAGTGCTTAATATTTCGGCAGTGGAAAGTAGATTTTACCTATATCCATTTACCTGTTTAGCCAAGAATTCATATGGTAGAAGTGCAGCATATGTCCAATTAAGACAACCAGGTAAACAACAGAACTATTTATTTGAAATGCAATTTTGTTTGACGGTGGTGAGATGCCATGGCGTTGAGGTTTGCGAAGCTCTTTCCTCTGCCCGGAGCTCTCTTGGATTCCTCTTAACCTGGGTAACTTCTATTCCTCTTTCACTTCTCACCTCAAGTATTTCTTCTTCTAGGAAGCTTTTCTGTCCTGCTGTCTGCCCTCAACCCAGCTCTCTGCCCAAACAGATGAGGTTAGGCCTCTGTTAAGTACTTCCCTGGCACCATATGTCCCTGTCACAGGATCTATCATATTTAGTTTTATTTAACTAACTGTAAATTCCCTGATGGCACAGACCACTTATCTTACTAATCATTCTATTTCCAGAGCTAGTAGCAACTTAAGTCTGGTACGTCATAGGTACCTAACGAATATTTTTAGGTAGTTGATTACATGATGGATGCACAGGGAAAGCCTAAATATCCACTTTCCAAGGAGGATGTCAGAAGTTTTGGTTTTCTTGAATTGTCTAGTCAAGCATAGTACTGAAAGTATTTTTGAAATATTTTAAGATTATTTATAGTTGAATTAAAAATAGGGTATTTATGAATGTGTACATGGAAGAAAATCTAAAAGAACCTACACACTATTAGAATTAGTAAATGAGTTTAGCAAGATCGCTAGTCTATATATATATTATATTTCTATGTATGTCTATAAATACCAAAACAAACAAATAGAAATTAAATTTAAAATATAACATTTACAATAGCATCAAGAATTATCAAATACTTAGGAAGAAATCTAGCAAAGGTTATTCAAGATCTCTGTAAACAAACTAAAAAAAATTATTGAGATAAATTAGAGAGGACCTAAGTATAGTCGTGTGCCACATAATGATATTTCTGTCAACAATGGACTGTGTATACAACCGAGGTCCCATAAGATAGTACCGTATAGCCGAGGTGTGTGGCAGGCTGTACCATCTAGGTTTGTGTAAGTGCACTCTATGATGTTCACACAATGATGAGACTGCCTAATGACGCATTTCTCAGAACGTATCCCTGTCATTAATCCATGAATGACTGGAATGTAGATGGAAGGATATACAATGTTCATAGATCAAAAGACTCAATATTATAAAGCTGTCTGTTCTCCCCAAATGAATGTACAGGTTGAAAATAATTCCAATCAAAATCTCAGCAGTATTTGTGCAAGTGTGGGTGTGTGTTTGTGTGGGTGTGTTGTTGTGGGCAGGCTTATTCTAAAAGTCATATAGAAATGTAAAGGGCCGAGAATAGTCAAGGTGGTCTTGAATAGAAACAATAAATCTGGAAGATTTACATTATAGATGTCATGATCTTGCATGAAGCTACGATAATTAAAACTGTAAATGTCAACTATCAGTTGGGCCAATTGGATATGAGTCTGGAAAATGGTATATCTTGTTTTCTACTTCATACTTGAGTTAATTACAGATGGATCAAACATCTAAATTGGAAAAGTCAAATAGAGCTTTTAGATTCTTTTCTGGATGCCTACATGGCCCCTGACATTTAGAAGTCACTTTCTTCTTTCTTCTTTTTCACCCTCCTTACTTCCCCTTCCACTTCCTCCTCTGCCACTCCTCCTCTGTAATCACTGGATGAATAACTAGTTGGGGAGCCAGGAGAATGAGGAAGTGTGAAGCGTTCTGTATGGCGGCACTCAACCCCTCCTTTCCTGTCCCCCAGCCTTCAGCTTTCCCACCTGACTCTTCTGCCTCCAGGAACTTTTATAGGATTTTGAGGGTCTTTGACTTGTACTTGTTTTACTACAGAGTGTTCTGGCCTATAGTCTTTGATATTTTTTCTATGTTATTGTATATTATACTTCTTAGGTGGAAATTTAATACGATGCACCTTAGTTTTATATAGTATTCATTCTAAATAGCTTTGTACATTAGTACCCATTATTAAATGATAGTAATAAATGAGTTAATACTGTCTGGGATTTGAGATTGCACGCCAATCCCAAATATAGTTTCTCTGGGATGATAATGTTTAATTTGCTATGCTCAAATTTTTAGCTCTTTTGGTTCTAATATTTTTTTCCCCTCTTTTCTGCTGTAGTCCCTGATTTCCAGAAGCACGTGATTGGCATATTTGTCCTGTTAACAGTAGCAATTACATGCTCTGTTTTCATCTATAAGCTCTTCAAGGTTGACCTGGTGCTTTGGTACAGGGATTCTTGCTATGATTTTCGCCCCCCAAAAGGTACAATTTTGTATTCTATGCAGTATTTTCTTATTGGAGAGACGGGATAGTTAAGAGTTGTAGAAGATAACTCAGAGGGTTTTTACTTAAATTTTAAAACAAAGTGTGGCGTATACAAGAATAGTAGTTACTGTTGTGCATAATTATAATTTCATGACCTGACAGCATTGTTTTCCAAGTTACTGCATTAGTGTTCATAATGGTGGGATAAACAGGCATTTAGAGCATGTGTTTATAAATCCACTATTCAGAGGCCATTGCTGAGGACCTACTCTGTGCTGGGTAGGATATAGGTCACCCCATAATCTGCCTTCAGATGAGAGAAATGACTTGATTTTCATGCATCAGGGAAGTGTTCTCTGTTTTGTTTAAACCTCACAAAAAACTAATATGATAATATATAGAAGGAAGAGTGGATAGAATTCAGTGCTGAGACATTTGGGGAAAAAGATAAGGCCGGGGAGATAAGGAGAGTTCCATCCTGAGGGGTAAGAGTCTCTATATGTGGGGCAGCCGTCAAGGAATACAAGAACGACTTTGCAGTAAAACACGATAAACAGGAACTTGTAAAGATGAACACTTGAAAAAGGTATTATAGTTTTGGTATTGCTACTTTATTCATGCCATCATACGAAAAAATGAACAGTTCATTCTGAAATGCCTGTTTGTGATCTTGAAATGCTTTGTGATATTGATATTCTGAAATGCATGTTTGTGATTTGCTTTATCAAATCTCTTATTTTTCCTTTTGGTTCTAAATATATTACATTTTCCCTTTAGCTTCAGATGGAAAGACCTATGATGCATACATACTGTATCCAAAGACCCTTGGGGAAGGGTCCACCTCTAACTCAGATATTTTTGTGTTTAAAGTCTTGCCTGAGGTCTTGGAAAAACAGTGTGGCTACAAGCTGTTCATTTATGGAAGAGATGACTATGTTGGGGAAGGTATGTATGGGGAAAAAAGTAAAAGTCTTGTTGTAAAAATGATTTAAGTACTAAATTAATTGGGTTAATTCAGTTGAGTCTCATCTTTCTAGAAGAGTGTGGCATAGGTACACATACTTGACAATTTTAAGAACCTCTTAAGTGGTACGTGATAATGAGTTTCACATTTATTAAATACCAGGTATTTGCTTTTCTCATATTTTGTTGGCGTGACAATTAACTAAGTTTCATTTAGTTCTGGAAAACTTAACAACTAGTTAGATCAATAGTTACTTCACAACTGATAGAATAAATTTGAGGGGTATAGATCAGATGGTATAACAAGAAAGTTTTAAAATGTCTACTGAAAGTATTTGAGTCCTAAATGAAATATCCAACTTATGTGGGTCAACTTTTGAGCTAGTCTGAAATGAGAAACTCCTTTAATCTTAAGTAAGGTAAGAAAAAGAGTATTAGGAGATGCAGGGTGTGGGGTGGGAGGAACCTTGTGGGGTTTGGGTTCTGGAGAGAATGGTTATAAATCGAAACTTTACTTACTATGCTGTTCTTCATGTTTTTCAGACATTGTTGAGGTCACTAATGAAAACATAAAGAAAAGCAGAAGACTGATTATCATTTTGGTCCGAGAAACCTCAGGATTGAGCTGGCTGGGGAGCTCCTCTGAGGAGCAAATAGCAATGTACAATGCTCTCGTTCAGGATGGAATTAAAATTATCCTGCTTGAGCTGGAGAAGATCCAAGACTATGAGAAAATGCCGGAGTCCATTAAGTTCATTAAGCGGAAACATGGGGCCCTACGCTGGTCCGGCGACTCTAGGAAGGGACCACAGTCTGCAAAGACGAGATTCTGGAAGAATGTCAGGTACCGCATGCCGGTTCAGCGGCAGCTGCCTTCATCCAAGTGCCAGTTACTATCCCCGGCCACTAGGCCAGACTCAAAGGAGAAACTGCAAGGGGAGGTCCACGTGCCGCTCGGGTAGCTGGGAGCCGCGCAGCCAAGAGTTGCTTGGGTGCCTCCTGTCTTAGGGCCTTGCAGGCTGGGCTGTGCCTCCACTGACTGGACAGTCATAAGATGCACCTGCATAGTCCCTTATCCCCAAGGTCACCTGGAATCAGATTGTTAAGGGAGCAGGATGTGACAATAGCAGGCCAGGGCACTTCAGAGCAGAGGGCTCGGGAAGTCCTTTAAAAAGGCAACAAATGCCCTGTCTGAAGGTTTGAACTTGCTGAGAGAAGACACTGGGACAACAAACGAGAGGAAAGAACGTGCAGGAGATAGTTCCATCTCCAGACGGTTTTATGAAGTTGTCTGCAATCGGAGGGTGGGGCTGAGACCCAGTCTGGGGACGGCAGGGTGAGTGGCCCTCCAGTGGCTCTCATGGGCAGTTCTGCTGGTGAGTGAGACTCATGTTTCAGGAAAGCACAAATATTCTTGGAGAACTTTCCGTTTGCCTTGCATTTTCCATGCACGTCAACAGCTAGCAGTCAGTTTCCAAAGACTGAATTCCATTTTCACAGACCTTTCAAACTGTCACTTCAGTGAACAAAGGGAGCCTCTAGGATTCCAAGGTTTTGAAATAACCTTAGCTTTCCACTGGAGAGAGAGAATTTCAAAAGCACGAGTAGCAGAGAATTGGTCCCCTCTTAGTGCTCTCTGCCCCCAGTGGCCATTCTGTTCTACCTTACTCTTCTGCCCTTTTCTTGACTCGTTACTTCTTTGGAAGGACAACTTCCAAGTCACTTCCTGCCTCTGTTCTGTCACACGCATGGCCCACAGATTTATCATCCCTCATCAAACGCTGTTCTCATCTTCCCCCAGTCTTGCCAAAACACCTCCGAGGGGCTGCTCCTGGCTCAGGAGCTAAAGCCCAGATCTCCCACTAGCATTTCACCACCACCCCAAACCCCCAATCTGTCCACACAGCTGTCCCCTCCTGTCCTGCTGTGTGAATGCCCAGGTCAGCCTCCTGTGCCTTCGCACCCTAAGGGTAAATATTTCTTAGAATTTAAAAATTCTAAATCTAAAATTATATTTTAAATGAAAGCAAATTGGGTTTTTAGGTATAGAAAATTATTTTTAAAGCTTGGTGATAGTCCTCAGAATAATTAGAGAAATCCTGGAAAACCTCAAAGCCAAGTTTATGGGCCACTTACTGAAGGACATGCCCAGTTTTAAAAGTTGTGTGAACATGGACAGACCTTCTGGTTTTTGTATTTTTAGTATATAGTATTATGGATGAACAAAAGCTTTTATTTGGTATATTTTTTCCCCCCAAAGTAGTCAGAACTAGACAACAGAGTTTAATACTTTGACTCTTCTCTTTCCATCTGTTTCTCTTGGATCCAGTCGGATGGCCCTGGTTAACACTGCTATTCTGGAGCTGCTGATATAAAGGAAAGTGCCTTATTTTCGTTTGGCAGCACACACAGACTGCAGCCAGAGTCTGCAGGGTTGGGATGCAGGGCTGTCATGTCCCAGAAAGCCTATGAGATGCTTTAAACGTAATGTTGCTGATCAGTTTTAGCCTGTCATCTATAAAATATATTTGCATGTGTAATACCCCAAAAGCCAATTCTGAAACAGAATTAACGGCACAATTGGCCAGGAAGTGAGGAGGGGGGAAAACAAGCAAGAATTACCAGTGGCAGTGCTCCTGGAATTTGGGGAGGGACAGGGATCCAGGGATGTGCCTGGTGGAGGAGGCGCCCAGCAGGAAAGTGCGATGTCACGGTGTCACGGTGTGACTGCTGTGCCCACGGGAGGATTCCGGAGGAAGGAGCCGCATTCCTAGTTCCCTGGGAACTTCCTTTGTTTTATTGTTTTCCCCGAAGCCTCTCTTAAGCTCTTCCTTTCAGGCCCTCCCCATTAATTAAATTTTACTGCATTATCTGATGGTAATTTTTTTTTTGGTCAGCCTAAGTGTTTAGGAAAAGTTTGTAAATGTACCAAGGTGTTTCATTTCCAGTTGTCTAACCTGGCTTAGCAGAATGTATATGTTCATTCTCCTGCCTCTTTATTTTACTTGCAATAAGAGAAAAGGTATTGAGCCATTTTTTAAAGACATTTTTGATAAATTATATTTGTACTGGTTAATGATGAAGGGTTTTTAAAGACTTGTTTGTATAATTCTGCAGCAGATACAAATATTTTTATATAGTAAAACACCAGATTCATGTACAGCATGTATCATTGATCAATGGACTTGACTTGTTTTCCAATAAAATTGTGAAAACCTGGTGTTGAGTATTCATATGCAAGTCCGTGTCTTTGCCCGCCCTCTCATGGGTTTACCACGCACACCCTCCCAGGTCATGTGGGGCCAGGACACCTGCCTGGGAGGTCAGAGGCTTTTAGCCAAATGATGAACCTTAACTCGCGTTTGTCGCCTCCGCTGTACTCCATCCGTTTGCTTGCTTCTACATGGATTACAATGTGAGTCTTACTGTTGTTAACCCTTGACCTTTCCAGAGAATCTGTGCAAGATTTGTATAGATTTTTACATTTTACAAGAGGTTTCCTTTTATTTTCTCCTTTGACCCAGGAGGTAAACAAAATTGGCCAAGTTGGCATCCAAAGTACTAACTCTAATGCTCACAAACTCTAATGATCAGAGCTCCCCTCACACCCAGTCAGTACCTCTTTATTCCAACCTCACAGCAATTCTAACAAGCAGACAACTCTGTCACCACTTACGCAGAAGGGCGGAGGTGGCAGGTCACCTTAGAGTCTGAGATTCCACTATGAATCCTGCCTCCACTGTCTACTCGGTGTGAAAACTATTTGAGCCCTAGTTTCCTCACCTATAAAATGGGTATAATACAGAATTCGTAGAGTTGTGTAAGGATTAAGAAGATGAAATTGACTCTGACATGCGCCGTGCCTAGCATATGGCAGGTCCTCAGAGAGCAGTAGCTTTGTTAGTAGCCATTCTGTGAATAAACTTGGTTATCTGAAGTCATGTTAGAGTCTGCAAATAGAGCGGATAGAGAGGAGATGTAAACCCCAAGTGGCAACTGACACCAAGGGAGGGAGCAAAATCCTAAATCCTAAAAATAAGGACAAAGTTCAAGACAGCCAGATGAAAGTGTGCAACACAGGGTCCAGGAGCCCCACGTCCCCCTGTTCCAGGCATTTCTGCGTCACTGAGGGCCAACAATCCACATTCATGGTGACCCTCTGCCAGCCCCAAACTGTAAAGGATGTTTAGCGGTCTAAGTAAAGAAAAGGATTTGTTTAACACATTCCTGAAGGGTTTTTCAATTTAAAAAATGCAAGAACTTATAAAAATTTAAGAATCAGCTACCCTGAAAACTTGCCTATACAGAATTTCTCCCTGGAAGAATTCAGAGAGCTTTTTACCATATTTTGGTTATTTTACCAGTTAATGTATTTTTTAGCAAACAGAAAAATCAATACCAACATTTAAAAGTCATTTCCTTTTTTTGGATCTTTGGGATTATTTCTCAGTTGGGCTGCCATCTGGTGGGAAGAGACCTGAGTATAAATTGCTGCACTGTCACAATTTGGGAACCAGAGTGAAACACTTGGTTTCAAATCTCTGTTTTCTTATCTGAATAACAGGACTTCCTCTGTTTCGAGGTTTTTATGTGTGGAAACCCTCTGTCCAGTATCCGAGAGAGAATCTCAAAATATATTTTCTTAATTTTACCTCTCAATTAGTACAGAGAAAATAAATTCATTTACCCAAAATGTATCTTTTTCAAATTCTTCGGTTTTGGGTGTGAGGGAGATGGGGGCATGTAATCCTGGTGTTACCTTCTAAAAATAATAATATCTTAAAGCAATTTTAGCAAGTCAAGATCTGGCTTGGTATTTTTGATATAGTAAGTTTCCCAAATATTAATTGAAAGACTTTTAGGAATAAGTATCATACAGTTATAAAGTCAGAGATTTCTTCAAATGAATTTGTCAGAAGAAAATCTTTTCCACTGTGAGGCAAGAATCTGTGCGTGTGGTGAGTCTGGTTTGCTGTGGACGCTGCAGAGAGGGTAGCAGGTGGGGAAGCGAACGATCTGGGCTTGGAACAGGAAAGTTGTTCCTTTTTTATTAAAATAAATGCACAAATGAATCACAACACTTGCAAGAATTCATAAGATAGGAAAAATAGATTACACGTGGAAAAACATACATGGGGAGACAGGTGGGAGGGACATTTTTTTGGTGTACTAAGTAAGATTTATTTTGCAACCAAAATATGAAGGCCTGTGTGTGTGTGTGTGTATGTTAGATTTAGGGAGAGGAGCAGCTACAGGAAATAGATAACACTATTCAAAATGAATACTAACATTTCAAAACAAAAACATGCTCATCTTAACACATATTGCTCAGGCTTCTTGGGAGGAAGGCTTGGCTGGTTAAAGTGTGTAAATCCTGTGTGTTCGCCTGAAATCCGGTGTCCAAATGTTAACGCAGCAGCGGTCATTAAAATCTGCAGCTGTCAGACCAGTTGAGCCTGCACCACCTGAATCTAGGCTCAGGAGGCTGTTGACTTCTCTAGCACTGTGCTCAACTAGTTACGAGGTTAATTTACTCCGTCAAAGTCAGTGACGCTTGTTTTTCTCAGAACCTTTGAACTGGAATTGATCCCGAGGGTCGTTCGGTTTACGGTCCTGGGGCTGGGACAAACAGCACTGCTGTCATTCCCGTGTTCATCGGTTTTCCTTTCATTAAACACTTCCTGAGTGAGATTCCTCACACTTCTTTAGTGAGAGGGTAGTGTGTGTTTCACAGCCCCTGTGGGAACTGCTTCTGCTTTTGCCTGTGTGGTAATCCTGCCTGCCAATGGCTCCTTTTTCTCTCCTCGGCCCTCTTACGTCACTCATCCTGCTGAACCTGAGCCAGATTCCAGCTTCTCATTCGCCTTCACGGCTGTGGATGGTGGCCATCTGTTTGAACACTTGATTGTCAGCGACATTCCATAATCCTGCCTTGCACGCTATACTTCATTGCTCCTGAATTCTTACATTTCCTGAAACTGGACCCCAAGTCCTACCTGGAATTCCAAAACATAGGGGAAATATTTTTGCTCTCAAGTTTACTATGGGCTTGTATTAAAAGTGCTAAGCATGTGCCTAACATTATACTGGACACTGAGAAGATTATAAAGTGAGCAAATGCTTAAATCTAGCCATAGAGAATAGTGCTAAGAGGAGGTAGTTTGGGAAATGAACTCATATGGTAGAAGTTCTTAAGTCTCTGAGTGAAATACATGGACTTTATCATGTGGAGTCCGGATATGCGAGTTATTGGAGGTTTGGGGTTGGGACAACATTAGACATAAAGAAAGAGTTGACTGAAGGGCACTGTTATGCAGGGGAATTAGGAGGGAGTAAAAAGCGAGACACGGAGTCCGTTAGCAAGTTTCTATAGTAATCCTTTTGTGCACAGTTTGTATTAGAAACATTTTTCTTAAATACACTTCAGAAACCCTTTTTGTATTATGGAAGCAATATTGGTTTGAGAGAATGCAGAAATTTCTGAAAAGTGCAAGGAAGAAAAAAGTCACCCATAACCTCACAACTTAAAGATAATTATTAACATTGTATTGTCTTTCCGTGGATATAACTGGGATCATATAACATACGCAGTTTAATACCCTAACTTTCTTTTAACTTAGTAAAATTATTTGCTCACACTACTATTGATCAAATATAATCCATGAGTGATTGATCAGTCTATCAAATGAATGGTCCATGATTTAGCCTTTCTGCTTTGGTTTGATGTCTAGATTATTTCCAGTTTTTAGCCATCGTGGTCAAAATGAAACAGTTGTCCCTGCGCAAATATCTTTATCCACTTCCTGGATTGTTCGCCGAGTGTAGATTCCTAGAATCGGGGGCTATGGGCAGTGGACCTTTTCTGGTCTTCACTAATTTTTTTCGGTAGTCACTTTGTTCTGCTTTCCTGTAGGAAGCGTGTGGCACTGAAAATACTCATTTTTAGATCCTTGTCAATTTGATAGAGAAAAGGGATATCCTTTGTGATAAAGATTTCTTTGCAAGTTAAATAATGTGGTTGCAAATTCCACTTAACATTGATAGTTCCTGGGGGGCAGCCTGTGCCTCCAAATTCATTACGACTCTTAGCTAGTTAGCAAGAAGGCTGAGAATGGAGCCCGGATGTTCCAACTTTCAGATCAATGACCTTTTTAACCAACCACTGCTATCAGATGACATTGACTAGGGGTAAATGAACGACCCTTCGCTTGCAGTAAGGAAAGTGTGTAAGCACAGGTGGAGAAAATATGGCTTAGCAGCAACAAAAGCGAAAAAAACAATTTAGGATGTGAGTGTACAGTAATCCCAGAATGAAGGAATGAGCAATGTGGGGGCAAAAAGAAAACAAAACAAATACATCCAAGCCTGACCAGACCATAGCTTATATCCACACAAGTCTAACATGTAGAATTGCAGGAATGGAGGCCCATCCCCTCTCTGGTTGAGAGGCCAGGAGACAAGCCAGCAGCTGAGTGGCCTTGAGGCCTGTTGGAGCCTCTGACTGCAGGGACTCGGTCTGGAGAGAAGGGCCACTGCAGCAACTTCAGCAACGTTAGATGCATGGCAGCGTGGGAGACTGGGTTCCTCTTTCTACGACCCAAAGGGTATAGCAAACATGTGACTGGATGAGATTTCCTCTTCCCTTTAGGAAGGATTGATTTGCTAGTAGGCCTACCACTTGGAATGGAAGAACGAGTTCTCTTTGGCAGGGATATGAAGAGATCCAAACACTGGACATGTCATCAAACTAGGTCACTTATGGCAGGAACGTCTCTAGAGGGGTGCTGTGCCTGAGCCAAATCAACCAGTGCTGGAGTGGATGTGGGGGTGCTGTTATAGCTCTGTGTGTGTGTGTGTGTGTGTGTGTGTGTATGTACCACAGAAGTCCTTAAATTGTGAGGGCTTAAACATGTTGATTATCGCACCATGTGGTGTCCCATGTACAGGAGGGTGCTTGTTACTCTATTCAACAGAGAGCCAAGCCTTAGTTTCTGTTATGACCCTGTGATTTTGTGATCCTCTGAATCTGATTTAAGATAGATTGAAATTGAGAAAGATCAGAGAGACATTCAAATGGGTCCCAAATGGGTCTCCACATGTTCATCTCCACTGTCATTGCTGTGGGCCTGGCCACATCACCTCTTCCTTGGTCTCTTCCATTAGCCTCCTTCACTGGGGCCGTGTTTCTCCTCTTGCCACTGCACCCCTCATAACCAATTCTTCACGCAGCATCCAGAGTGGATTTTCTTTGACTTTTTCTTGGAGTAGAATCTACATTTAGAAAAGAGCACATAAGTGAACAGTTTCAGGAAGTTTCACAGACAGAAGACAACTATGCTGCCAGCACCCAGATCAAGAAAGGAAGGTGAGTAGCATTGGAGCGTCCCCATCCTGTCCCCCCAAGTCACATATTGTCCTTGTGTCAAGGGAAACAACTGTCCTGACTTTCAACTGCATAGATTAATTTTGCCTGTTTTTGAAATTTATGTAAGCAGAATCAAACAGTATGATCTTTTTTTTTTTTGGTCTATTTTCTTGGGCTCGACATTCTATCTGTGAGATTCATCTATATTGTTGCCTGTATTTATACAGTTCTTCCTCATGGCTCTGTAGTATTCTGTTGGTGATCTACCACATCTGTTTTATCTATTCTATTGTCAATGGGCATTTGTGTAATTTCTAGTTTTTGACTATTATGAGTACTACTCCCATGAATATTGTATCAAATGTCTCCCTTGGTGGCTATATGTTTGCGTTTCCATTTGGTGTATCTCTCAAAGTGGATTAGCTGAGTTAGCCTTAGCAGATCCTACCACATGGTTTTCCTAAGAGGTCGTGCCAGTTTGTTCTCTCGTCAGCAGTATATGGCAGCTCCAGTTGTTCAATATCCTCATCAACACTTGGTATTGTCAATCTTTGTAATTTTGGCCATTTTGGTGGGTTTTCAATGGTCACTGTGGCATTTAAAAAATGTAAATAAGATTATATCTTTTTTCTGCTTTAAATTTTTTAATAGCTTTTAATTTTACCTAGAATAAAACCCAACCTTCTTGTTATTGCCTACAGGCCCCTGGATAGTCTAGCTCCCATCTGCCCTATGACTTCATTTACTCAATGCCACTGCTCATTCACTCAGTTCTGGTCACACTGACTTCATTTCTGTTATCTTGAAATTTCCCAACTCTTTCCTCCTTCAGAGATATCGTTCTAGCTGTTCCCTTTCTGAGGACGATTCTTCCCCCGCTGTCTACCTGGTGGGCTCCTTGCTATTACTCAGGCCTCAGTTATACTGTCACCTCTTAAGTGACATCTTCCCCACACCCTCTCTATCCCTTCATCATAGGTCATATGTTTCATGGGTCTCACCAACCTCAAAGCATCTCTTTCTATTCTTATTCAGCGTTTTCCCCCACATCTCTTGTCCCCTATGCCTCACACTAGACACTAGATCGTAAGCTGAGAGAGTCTGTCTTCCAGCAGACTCTCAACACGTCGCCTGGCACATAGCGGGAACCATATAGACATTGGAGGAGTGGGTGGATGAACCGAGGAATGGGCTCGAGGGGGAGATTAGGCCTAGGACCTCAGGAAACTGAGTGCTGTTAGCACCACCCTCCTGTCACCCCTGCTGCTTCTTCCGTCTCCAGAAGCTCCTCTCATTCCAGCAACAAAAGTCGACCACAGAACTCTGTTCTGGATCCTCAAGTCACCTAGAGAGGAACAACGCGAGAACTGAAGAGCCTTAAAGGTATAAAAATTTTCCTAGAGCGCCAACCCCTGACCCAAGCCGAATAGCGGGCTTTGGAATGTTTGACCGTGACATGTGAACATATTTCTGCTTCATTCTCACTGGGAAACTTTATCTGTGGGTTACGTTCAATGAGAAATCATCGTATGTTTAGTTAGAACAAATGAAAGCTACTGTGCACTATATAAAATATACATTCTGAATATGCATCACATCCTGGTCTGAGGATCAAATCCATTGAAAGTAAAATTCAGCCAGTCTGAACTCAGCGATGCCCCCATCACACACACATTGTTGCTTCACGCCAGCTCTCGGGATGCGGTGACGAATCTTCAGAGGAAGGTGCTTCACTTCATAAAGAACCTAACCCAATTGAAAGAGTCCATCACCCATGGCTTGTGACTACTGGCATAAACTAAGAATATTTCCATTGCAAAAATACCTGCAATTGGGAAAGACTGACAAGGAAGGGCTGGTGGGAGGAGGATGATAAAGAAGTCTGTGCTCATCAAGTATCTATTACCATCAGGCACTCTGCTAAGGAGGTTTACAAATGTCACCCCTGAAAAGTAGCTCCAAGCACACCCATCTTCTAATAAAGGGTGCTGCTGGGGTTTGACTCCCTGTCAGGGAGAGGGCGGTGAGGTGCAAGTGTGCCTTCCTTTGAAGGGGACCACAGGAGACATCAGCGGGAGAGCTTATTGTGTTCTCTACCAATTGGTGAGAGGAAGATACACATTAGGTGCACAAAAGGGCAAAACCTATGAGAAGGAATTTCACACAGAAGACACACGCATGGCCAATGAGCACAGGCAAAGATGTCCCATCTGACTAGTGATTAGGGAAATATGAAATAAAATCACAAGATAACTCTTACATCTTTGGACTCCCCAAACCAGCAAAGTGTAAAAGTCTGACGTTACCAAACATTAGCAAGAACGTGAAGTGATGAAACTCGTATCTGCTAAAGGATACTAATGGAGAGAAAATTGGGGACTTTCTAAGACAGTCGAAGATGCACCTACCCAGTGATCCTGCGATTTCACTCGTGAGACAACTTCTCAAAACCACACAAGAGGACATCACAAAAATCTTCACCACGGCAGTATTTTTAAGAGCAAAATATAAATTTGAAACAACCTAAATGTCCAAAGGAGATGGATACATAAATTAAAGTATATTCATACAATGGAATGCTGTACAGTAGTGGCCTTGAATGAACTAGAGCTACTCAAAATATGTGAATCTCACAAATATAACATTAAGTGAAAAACAGCAAGTTACATAAGTATACACTGTAGTATTTTTATATAAAGACTAAAAAGTCCTATACAAGAATACTTTATATTGCTTAAGGAATACACACACACACACACACATCAGAATGATAAGCACTGAGATTAGGACAGTGACTTTGGGGGGTGGAAAAGATGCATACAGGAAACTAGGTAATTATTATTTCTGAGGCTGGGTCTTGCTTATATGATTTATGACTTGTTTTGAATTATTTAGCTGTTAACTATTACATGATGCACGTTTCAAAAGAAAATTTAAAAAGTGAAAATCAGATAGGAAAAATAAAGTGATTGAATTCAGGAAATTTCAGTCTAAACGCTATCCAGTTTCCCCGATTTTTCAAGGTAATCGAGACCCTGCAGCAAAGGGTTTGGTTTTCTGTTGTTTTTAATTGCAAACTTTACAATCCCCAAATTAGTTCTCTCTTCAAAGCCAGTGGTTTATTCTCCATGTTTCAGGAAACACATCTGGCCTGGAAAGTCTCTGGAAGTGTAAGTTTCAGGTCCGTAGCCAATGAGCACAGTGAAGGTCAGAGGGGTCCAGCAAGACCGGGGCGCTGTTGCCGCGGGGCTGGGATGGCCTGGCTTCACTGAGAAAGCTTTGGGGCAACTATACCGACTAGACTGGGCATGCATGCCAATCCTCAAACTATGAAAAACGTGATAGGACACAAATTCCTCTGTTTGTAAGGTAGAAAGTGAAAAAGACAACAAAAATAAAAAGATTTAGAGATAACTTTCAACAGTGCTTGTAATAATAGTTCTGCAAGTGAGTCACTTGATATTTTTTATAGTAAGACCTTTCCGCTGTTTTGGGTGGGGGCATAAACCTTGCAAAATGCATGTGTACAGAGAACCTCACCGAACGCTGATGTCAGGGGGAAGTAATGAAGATCTCCTCTGATAGCTTAGCAGAGGAGTCCTAAAGCGTGAGCACCTGAGGGAGCCTCGGATCCTTTAAAAAGATCTGTGAAATCAAAGCTATTTTCATAATGATATTAAGACCTTATTTGTCTTTTTGCTTCTCCTTATCTCCCCAATGTGTAGTGGGCTTTTGCAGAGGCTAACTGACGTGTTACATCATAGGAGAGTAGATGCAGACGTGCATGTGAGCGCCCAGCTGTCTCCTATTTAGTCAGACGGTAAAGACGTTGTGTCCAGACACGGAGTGTGGGTCTGTAGTAAGGGTATGTAGAACAACACCACTGTTCTCAATAAGTCTGGTTGTTTTGGAAAGTGTAGTTATTTTTCATAATATGTATGATATTTAATGGAATGAATTTATTGTAAACTCACTATCTAAAATAAATAAGAAAACCAATGTTTAAAACACTCCCCATTTTAATTTCAATACACGTAGTAAACATTGACAGACAACTCACAGAAACAAAAGCACTTTGGAATCCTCACTAATCTCCAAGAGTGTAGAAATTTGCACCCCGCTGCCCTCCAACCTCTCTCTTTAGCAAGCTTGGCTGGTGAGGCACGCACTGCGTTCTTCTCCCTGCTCATATGGCGGCTTCCGACTCGCCGTCTCTAATCCAAAACGACTGCCAGCAACAGCTCTGCCGGGAGTCTGTAGAATGGAGATTTCACTTTATATTTTTCTGAGTCTCAGTGCTCTGAGGGATCTCTCTGGGGTGTTTCCTGATGGCTCGAGCGACAGGTCCTTGTTGATAAGCTGTTTGGAAGTTGCAGACAAGAGCAGGGCTCCTTCTGGGGTGTTTGAGGATCGCCACGGGACTTCTGCTTTACAAGCTTGACTCAGGCAGACGAATGGTATTTCTTAGAAGCCATTTGGGAAGCTTCCACGGTCGGAGCGCCTTCCACCTTTGGGGCGTTCTACACAGGCCAGCGCCGGGCCGTAGTAACTGCTCGCGTGGGGTTTGGAAAGGAACGAATAATTCATTTACAGGGACAATTCGGAATGGATTTAAGCAGATTTTCCTGGTGATGAAAGACTCGTTAGCTTCCAGAAAATCAGGCCCAAAGCCTTCGTACCCACTTCCTAGTGTGAAGCCGCATTCCTGCCTACACTCCCACTGGGGAGGTAGGCGCGCCCCGCCCACGGCGGCGAGGAACGACCTGGAATGGAGATGCCCTGACACTCAGACCTGCTGTCAGCTTTTCCGCGCTCCGCAGGACCCCGCGCTCCGAGCCCGCCAGCCAGGTAGACGGGCCGGGAGGCTGCGGCTGAGCCAGGGGCCGGTGGCGCACTGGCGGAGGAAGGGTGTGGAGGGAGAGAGGGGGCAAAAATGTGCGCGACCGGGAGGCCAGAGATCGGGACTCCCAGGTGGCTCCGAACAGGCTGTGCGACCCTAGGGGAGCGGACTCCGTTTCTGGACGCTCAATGTTCCGCCCCCTTTTCCTGCCCGCCTTTGCCTGGGAGGCCTGAACTGGCTTCTCCCCAGGGAGCCGGTGTTCAGGGTTTCGGTTTAGACCGCCCGGCCCAGGTGGATCCGGAGGCCAAGGACGCGCAGGGCAGGCTAGCGCGACGCACCGGTGGGGACCCGGGACGCCACGGCGGGGACCTGGTGGCGCGGGCTGAGTTGGAGGGCGCGGGGCTTGGAATGGGCCCTGACCCTCGCATCGGGCTCAGGAAGCCGACCATTCCTCGCTGCTAGATGGCAGAAGGGGATGTCACCGCGTCCCCAAGAAGAGGCGAAGGTGCATCCTGCAGGAGGGGACCTCGGTCCTGCAGTCACCCTACCTAGACTTCCCCCACCGCGCCTCCCCACCTCTCCCACGCATCCCTCTCCACCCCGGATTGTGGAGGTAGGGCGCTGAGAGTAAGAGGCGGGGTGGGGAGGGAGCAGTCGTTAGGTGCACGTCAGGATAAATGTGGGGCCAAAGTTGGAGGGCTCCTCCTGAAGAAGGGATGGTCAGCGGCCTAGGCTGGGATCTCTGAGATTCAGAGGTCGCAGAAGCCGGCGCCTTGAGCCTGGGAGACGGCGGCCTCCGCCCGGCGCTGCGCCTTCCCCTCCCACCCTGTTCTTTCCTCCTCCTAGCCCAACGTGGGGATGCTGCTCTTGCTGCTCTGCGGCATGTCCATCGCTCTTCCACCTTTTATCAGAGCAGGTACGTTCGTTTTGTCCTCGAGTCTCAGAGGCCGTCCTCCCCACGTGCCTCTCTGCGCCTCTGTGTGAGGTCCCCGTGCCGACCTCCTGCGGGATCGCATGAGACCCCGAGCCTTGCTGATGGCACTTTCCCCAGGGGGGCAGGCAGAAATCCGCGGAATGGGGAAACAGCAAGTTTCAGTTCCAGGTATCTGATGCCCAGCCCCAAACGTCCTCCTGAGCTTTGAGGCCACTTTGAAAGGGAGAGGAGTCAGGCAAATTTGCGAGAAATGCTTGAGTTAAAATAGTCAAATGGATAGAGTACTATTTTATATGACAGGGGGTCATTTTATGACCCATGGTAAAAGCAAAGAAACCATCAACAGAACAAATTTCTTCCAGGAAAAGGTGAGCACTCTGGTAGATGCGGACTTTAAAGTGAGCGGGTTTTTAGCAATCCTTTTCGGGATGAGATACTTAGACCTTTCATTCAAGAGGGAGTGACATAACTGGGTGGCAGAACAGAAAGAAAACAGGCCAAGGAGGGCTGAGAATAGGAGCGTTTGCTCTGAAGGAGGAGGATGAAAGAACTAAGGGTCTTAGAATAGAAGGCAGGGAGGGAGATCGTTTCAAACAGGGACGGTGACTTGTGAAGGGGACTGAGTTCTGTCCCATGGACACATTTGAAGGGACTTCCAGTTATGCTTTCAAATCCGCAGGCTGTTTTTAGGAAACTCCCACACTGAGAAAACTCTCAAATAAAATGTCAAATTGGCTAGGAAATTAAAGAGGAGTTTGTTAAAACTAATAACGAATAATGCTAGAGTTCTCTTACACAATGATTTTCCCCCTTCTTTCCCTAGATGCATGCAGGAACATCAGTATGCTACACGAGACGCCTTCAGCAGGCCAGCCTTTTGCTTTTAACTGTACATACCCTCCACTAACATTCAGGAATGTGTATGTAACATGGTACAAACATCCTAGTAAGATCCCAATATCCAAAAACATACAGTCTAGGATTCACCAGGACCAAAACTGGATTTTGTTTCTCCCCCTGACGTGGGAGGACTCTGGGATCTACCACTGTGTTATCAAGTAAGTTCCCCATTTAAAATGGAACTAATTTTCTTTCTCTCATGTATATATACATATATGATATATTATAATTATATGTATACTTCTTTTAGGAAAATTCTTAGTAAATATTTAATAAATGTAGAGGACTCAATGAGAAGAATAAAATATAGTTTTACATTGTTACAAGACAGTTTCCAATGAACACATTTGAAAACAGAACAGATCTGGCAGTCAGTTGTTGGAACATGAAATGCATCTTTTCTCATTAAAATGGTGCCAGAAACCAGGCCAGCTTACAAAACCTATTTCTCCCGATATTATTGCTGCCTTCTTTCTTGGAATTCCGGAAGGTTTTGTGACAGGTGGCACATCCAGAAAAGAACAAGCCTCCTTCCAGCACCTTTTCGTAAGGAACCTGCTATAGGAATTTAAGAGTGATTAGGAATCAATTATGTTCCAGACGCCTTGCTAAGTCCTATGCCAGGAAGTAATGGAAATGAGTGACACAGGTCTGCTGGGAGACCATTGAGCCGGGTGGGGACTGCGGTGAACCAGAAAGCGTATGCCCCACCAAAGGCAGCAGTCTATTCAGTTCAAGTCCATTTTGCCAATTTTTCAAGCGAACCTGGAAACTAGAATGTGTGCGTGTGTGTGTGTGTGTGCAACTTTTCAATAAGCTTTATGTGTATGGCTTAAATAAAACACATCTGTAGACCAAATTTTGCTTCAGGGACCCAATTTTGTTACCTACCCTCCATTACTAACATGTACGACCTTAAGCAAATTATTTGAGCCTTGGTTTTCTTATCTGGTTGGGTTGGCGCTGAGATCCTGTGTGAAGCGCGTACTCCAGAACTGTAGTTGCCTTCTCCCTCTCTCGTGTTGTTTCCGTGGTATTTGCCTGCCCCTTTCTGTTTCCCAGAATGGCCTGTGGCAGATTCCTCGTTTCCGTCTGTCAGATTGACTTGAGGTACAAAATTACTTAGTGGCTCCCAAGTGGAAGTGGCCGTTAGCCTTGTTGGCCTGGCCCTTTCCACAAAGTCGCTCACTATGTAGATGAAGCTACGGATGTTGGTGGATGTCTGCTGTCCTGTTTACTCTGGGTTATGAGTTAACTAGAGTTGGAGATCATATGTCACACAAATTCATTTGGATGTCTAGGCTGGATGTAAAATATTTCACTCTGCAAACTGTGAAATGGGGGAAAATAATCTTTCTTAGAAAGTAGGCATAGATTGTCATGGAAGAAAGTAAACATGAATTCTCACAAATCTTTAACATACAGATATGATACATATTTAGTAAACAGTATATTTTTACTTTGAAATTTCAAATACACGTGAAATTTGCAAGAATAGTATAAAGAACTCCCATCTACCCTTTATCTAGATTCCCCGCCATTTAACATTTTGCCACATTTACCTTGTCATTCTCTCTCCCTCTCTCTCCATATGTATATTACACACTTCTTTTCCTAAACCGTTTTTTCCAAATGATTTGATTGTTTGCGTCATGTCCCTGTTTACCTCTTAGTATTTCAGCGTGCATTTCCTGTCAGCAAGAACGTTCTCTTACATAATCACAGAATAGTTATCACATTCAGGAAATTTAACTGTCATACAATACTTTTATCTAATCCCCCATCCATAGTATAATTTTATCAATTGTCTCAATGATGACCTTTATAGATTTTTTTTTCCTTTCCAGTAGAGGATTCAATCCGAGATCATGCATTGCATCTGGTTGTCACGCATTTTTAATCTCTTTTCATCTGGAACAATTCCTGAGTCTGTTTTTTCATGACATAGACATTTTCAAGGAGCACAGGAAATATTTTATATTCTATCCCTTAATTTGGGTTTGCCAGATATTTCTTCATGAGTAGATTCAGGTGCACCTTCTTGGCTGGAATACAACGTAAGCGGTGTGTGGCTCTTCAGATGACACCCTCAGAGGCACACGGTGCCCATTTGACCCTCATTGGTGATGTTCATTTTGATCACCTGGTTAAGGTGTTGTCCAGCGTTTCTACTATGTAAATACTTTTGTTCCTTTTGTAGCGAATGGTTTGTGAGATGCGTATTGTCGTGTTTGAGGCAGAGGGTTTGCATAGTACCTTAAAAATGCTTTGGAGATATTTGAAGATGAACGGGATCACTTGATTTTGTGATTGTTTATGAGGTTTCAATCTACTGTTTTCTTACAGTGATACCAACACCTGTCACAGCATACATGTAAACCTAACTGTGTTTAAAAAGTATTGGTGCAGTGCTTCCAGGAACAGTCAGCCGAATTTACTGGACGAGTACAAGCAAATATTACATGCTGGGAACGATGACAGTCTTACATGTCATCTGAACTTCCCGAGGAGTTGTGTTTTGGATTCAATAAAGTGGTATAAGGTAAAAAAATAATTTTCCTATTGATATTTTTTCTCCTCTTCTTTAAAACTCACTTTTTAAAATTTTATTTTATCTTTTTAAAGATATAATTTTTTTCCTTTTTCTCCCTAAAGCCCCCCGGTACATAGTTGTATATTCTTCGTTGTGGGTCCTTCTAGTTGTGGCCTGTGGGACGCTGCCTCAGCGGGGTTTGATGAGCAGTGCCATGTCCGTGCTCAGGATTCGAACCAACGAAACACTGGGCCGCCTGCAGTGGAGCGCATGAACTTAACCACTCGGCCAGGGGGCCAGTCCCAAACTCACTTTTTTTTTAAAAAAGGTTTGAGTTGTATCTTTTAAGGCATAACTGGCAGAGATTTGTGTGCTTAAGATGGATTTGTTAGCTAATTGCTGCTGGTAATTTTACCTTGCTAATTACTTATTTTTAATTTGATTATAGCTTTGTAATATTTTCTTATTTGTATCTGCCACCTTCCCCCAACAATCCTTGTTTTTCAGCCTGTCCGTGGTTATTGCTTTTTTCTAACAGATTAGTTAATTAGTTTGTTTGTTCGAATGGGTACTACAGGCACATGACTCATTAGTCACGAAGTTTGAGAAGTCACCTCCTAGAAGGTCTCCTTTCCACTCCTCATCGTCTTTGCCCCGGGCCCATCACACCTTCCCTGACGTGTGGCTGCCAGTGTTTGTTCCTTGCGTCCTTTGCCTTATCCTTGCATAATGCTATACAAGCAAATAAAACTATGTATCTTAGCCCATCCTTTTTTATGCAAACAGGACACCTGTACTCATCTTTCTGCACCTTCTGTTTTCACCCTCAAACATTCTCTTTTCTTGACGGGACTGGCAGATGATAATGTATAAGACACGGTTCTGGGCATTCAGGAGCACAGGCTAGTTATTTAAGACTGGAATTAGTTTCCCCCTAACACTGCTTGTTAGCACTTGCCAGTACAAGCGTCTGGGTCATGAGTTTCCTTGGTGGGAAGGTTTTCATTTACTGATTCAATTTCTTTGATGGTGATAGGATTATACAAATTTCTTCTAGAATGAGTTTTGGTAAGATTTTGTTTTCTAGGAAATTGCCCATTTCAGTAAACATTTCAAATACTCCAGCATGAAAGTATTTATCATCTCTTCTCTTTTAATGTCTGCTTCTGCAGTAAATTTCATCTTTTAATTCCTATTACAACGCATTTGTTCTCTCTCTCTCTCTCTCTCTTAGACACACACACACACACACACACACACACACATACTCTTACTTGATTGGCCTCATAAGAGCTTAGTCAGTTCTATTACTCCTTTCAAAGAATCAGTTTTTGGCTTTGTTGATCCTCTCTGGTATATGTTTCACATTCATTTAGTTGTTTCCATTTTTCTTTCTTACAAGGAATGTGGCAATGAGTGTGCTTACCCCTGTCTTTTAAAGTACATTTGCCAGTGTGTGAGTTGTTTCAGGGTACATGATGGCTAGCCTTAGAATTGTTGGATTATAGAGTATGCATATGAATAAAGTTTTCAGCTTTATTGATGTTGCCAAATTGCTCTGCAAAATATTATATCAGTTTATGCTCTTGCCAGCAATATTCTGGATTCCCTAAAACCTTGTGTAGGACTTTGTATTGTAAGACTTAAAATTCTTTTATATCACTTTGATGGGTATAAAATGTTACTTTATTGTTGTTTTAGTTTGCTTTTCCTTAATTATTGGTGAGATTGACCAATGTTTCATACGTTTATTGGCCATTTCTGAATTCTCTTCTGAACTGCTTACTCATATCTTTTGCCATACTTCTTTTTTCATTTTTCTTACCATTTTCTTACTGACTTGTAGGAGATTTTATATATCATATATCCTGGGTACCAATGTTTGAAATGCATTACAATTTTTTTCATTGAAGTATAGCACATATGTAAAAAATGCATAAATCATAAGTGGACGAGCTTGATGGATTATCAGAAAGTGAACACACCATTTAATTGCCTCTTCCACCAAAGACAAGAACTAAGAAATTGGGGCCGGCCCCTTGGCTGGGTGGTTGGGTTGGCGCACTCCGCTTCGGTGGCCCAGGGTTTCGTGGCTCGGATCCTGGGCACAGACACGGCACCGCTCATCAGGCCATGTTAAGGCAGCAGCCCACATGCCACAACTAGAAGGACCCACAACTAAAAGTGCACAGCTATGAACCGGGGGGCTTTGGGGAGAAAGAGGAAAAATAAAATCTTTTAAAAAAAAAAAAAGAACTAAGACATCACCAACATCTCAGAAGGCCCACTTTTGCCATCCTCCAAAAGTGTGCCTCTGTAATCGCCAGGATAACCACTCTCCTGACTTACAATATCATAGATAGTTTTGCCAGTTCATGAGCTTTATTGAAATTGAATCAATTTGTGTGTAGTATTTTGTGTCTGGCTTCTTTGGCTCCGTGGTAACCTTGTGAGAATAATCCATGCTGTTGCAGGCAGCTCGCTTTCATGCATTTTCGTTGCTGAATAGTGTTGCATTATTATTATCAGACTTTTGAACTGTTTCCAATTTTTGACTATTAGAAATAAAGCTGCCATGAAATTTCTTGTCTATATCTTTTGGTTCACATATGCATGCATTTCAGTGGACATTGACATGAGTGAAATTAGGTTACAGGGAACATGGTTAAAGTTAGTAGAGAATGCCAAACTGTTTTCCAAAGTGGTTGTGCCAATTTACAACCCCAGCAGCAGTGTATCCGAGTTATCTTTGCTCCACATATCTGACATCCATTGATAAATTTAGCAAAGATTGATATCTTTACAATTTTGAGTCTTCTAAACTATAAACATTGTATATCCCTACATTTGGTTTTCTCTAATGTCTCACATCCTATGTTGTATAATTTTTTGTATAGACATGTCTTCTGCTAGATTGATTCTTGGGAAATTGACATTTACTAATGTTGTTGCAATAGTATGGTTTTTATATTTTTAGATTCTGTTTGTTGCTGGTTTATGGAAGTAGAATTTGTTCTTTTATCTTGTTCTTGTTTCTAGCACCCTTGGTCATTTCACTTGTTTATTCTAGTAGTTGCTCTATAGGTTCTTTTGGACTTCCTACATGCACAATCATGTTATTTGCAGATTAATGACAGTGTTATTTCTTGCTTTCCTCTCTTTGTAACTTTTACATTTTCTTCCTTATGACACTGGCTAGAATCTCTGGATCACTCTAGGAATTGTTACCACTCCTGTATTATTACCGCTTTCTGTATTATAACAGCATCTCTGTGTCATTATGTCAGAGGGAAAGCTTTCCACATTATCTGATTAAATATGATATTTCTTTTAGAATTTTAATAAATGATTTTCATCAGATTAGGGAAGTTTGCCTAGTTTTTTCGGATTTTTATTATGAATTGATGTTAAATATTATCAAATTCTTTTTGAGGAAGATTAGCCCTGAGCTAACATCTGCCACCAATCCTCCTCTTTTTGCTGAGGAAGACTGGCCCTGAGCTAACATCCATGCCCATCTTCCTCTACTTTCTATGTGGGACGCCTACCACAGCATGGCCTGACAAGCAGTGCCATGTCCATACCCGGGATCCAAACTGTTGAATCCCGGGCCGCTGAAGCAGAACATGCGAACTTAACGGTTGCGCCACTGGGCTGGCCCCTCAAATTCATTTTTTACTTACCACAGGACTTTTCTTTTTATTCTGTTAATGTTGTGAATAACAAGGACTGGTTTTTGAATGTTATACCAACTTTGCATTCCTGGAATGAACCACATTGGCGTGTAACCCTTTTTATACATTGCCAGGTTTGGTTCGCTAATACTTTGTCTAGGATTTTTTTCTTCTATATCATGAGAGATTAGTCTGTATCTTGCTTTGTCCCTGTCCGATTTTGGTATGAAGGATATGCATGCTGGCCTTATAAAATAAGTTGGGAAGTAATACTTACTTTTCTCTTTTCTAGAAATGCTTAAGATTAGTTTTATTTCTTCCTTTACATGATTTTAGAGTTCGGTAGTGAAGTTATGACTGGAACTTACTCTGAGGGAAGGTTTTTAAATTACAGATTCAATGTCCTTAACAATTATAGGATTACTTGGATCCTCTACTGCTTCTTGTGGCAGATTTAGCACATTGTGCTTGTTTAGAAATCTCCATTTGATCCATATAATTTTTAAATTATTGAGATAAAATTGTTCAAAATACACTCTTATTATCTTTTTAACGTTGGTGGGATTTGTGTTGCTGTTTCCTCTCTTACTTCTGGTGTCATATATTTGCATTTTCTCTCTCTTTTTGTTGATTTCTCTTGCCAGGGGTTTATCAACTTGATTTGTCTGTTCAAAGTGCTGATTTTGTCAATCCTGTCTTTTATTAGTTTGTTTTCTGTTTCATTAATTTCTGCTCTCATCTAGTTTGGTTTCTCTGGTTTTAATTTGCTATTATTTTACTCATGTTATGAGATGGATTCTTTGATCATTAATTATAAGCCTTTCTTCTTTTCTAATATACGCATTTAAATTTGTAGTTTCCCTTTAACTTCAATTTTGGCTGCTTTCTCCGGGTTTTGTATATTATGTTCTCGTCATTCAGTTCAAAGTATTTTCTGATTTCTCATCTTATTTCTTCTTTGAACTCTGGATTGTTTTGAATGGTTGCTTAATTTGCAAATATAGCAGTGTTTTTCTTTTTGAAGTTACTTTTCTGTGTGTGATATTAAGCTTAATTGCACTATGACAGAGAACACACTCTACATGATTTAAATACTTTGAAATTTGGTGAGACTGGCTTTATGGCCCAGCATACGTTCAGCTTTTGTAAAGGCCCCACATATATTCAAAAGAATGCAAACATTGCAATATAGGTTGGTTAATTGTGTTATTCAAGCATATGTATATACCCTTCTCCTTTTTCGTTTTAGTTACTTAGAAAAACACGTTAAAATAACCCAGTGTGATTGTGCCTTTTTCTATTTCTTGTTTTGAGTCTACCAATGTTTGAGATTAT